TGACATGTACCAGGAGGGTGTGCTCGAAAGGGCGCCTCATACTGCGCCCCAGGACCGCTGCCCAGAGACCCAAGCTTTAAAAACTGCCTGTCTTTTGTTTGTTTAATTGAAGCATAGTTGATTCACACTGTTGTGTTAGCTTCTGGCAGACAGCAAAGTGACTCAGTTTTATATATATATATTTTCATGTTATATTCTATTATGGGTTATTACAAGATATTGAATATAGTTCCCCTTGTTATTTATCTATTTTATATGAGGTAGTGTGTATCTGTTAATCCCAAATACCTAATTTATCCTTCCCCACCTTTCCCCTTTGGTAACCCTAAGTGTGTTTTCTACCTCTGAGTCTATTTCTATTTTGGAAATGAGTTCATTTGTATCACTTTTTAAGGTTCTACAGATAAGTGGTATCATATGGCATTTGGCTTTCTCTCTCTGACTTACTTCACTTAGAATGATAATCTCTAGGCCCATTGACATTGCTGCAAATGGCAATATGTCATTCTTTTTATGGCTGAGTAATATTCCATCATACATACAGTGGGATGTAATGGTATATATAGGTATATATACACACCACATCTTCTTTATCTATTCACCTGTTGAGGCACACTTAGGTTGCTTTCATGTCTTTAACGGCCTCACTTTGGGACTTCCCTAGCAGTCTGGTTGTTAGGACTGTGCACTCTCAATGCAGGGGGCATGGATTCAACCCCTGGTTGGTGAACTAAGATCTGTACCACAAAGAGTAGAAAATACAGTATAACTAGTAATATAAAAACACAACATCTCAGAAGGACATTTAAGGGCATGAAGAAATGCTCAGGCTATCTTAAAGACAAAGCAAAGCCACTTACAGTGATCTACAAATATGTATGAACATGTAAAGAGGAAACAAATGGCCTTGTTTTTTCAGGCAAGGAAATGAGGCTCAGAGAGGGGAGGTGACTTGTGCCAGGTCACACAGTGCCAAGTGGTTGCTCACAGACATCTTGGCCGGGGGCACTGAGCCTGTATTAACCACTGGACTGCACTGCCATGGGCTCTAGCTTAGAGGTGTTTCTTTCTTTGGCTGCGCTGGGTCTTCCGTTGCTTTCTGTGGGCTCTCTCTCGTTGTGGCCCGGGCTTCTCATTGCGGTGGCTTCTCTGGTCAAGGAGCACGGGCTCTGGGTTCTTGGGCTTCAGGAGTTGCAGCACACAAGCTCAGTGGTTGTGGCACATGAGCTCCAGAGCACGGACTCTTGGTAGCTGTGGTGCACGGGCTTCGTTGCTCTGCAGCATGCGGAATCTTCCCAGACCAGGGATTGAACCGGTGTCCCCTGAATCGGCAGGCAGATTCTTATTCACTGCACTACCAGGGAAATCTGGTTTTTTTTTTAAAAAAAATTGTATTTACTTATTTGGCTGCACTGGGTCTTATTTGAAGCACACAAGATCTAGCTGCAACGGGTGGACTCTTCAGTTGCAGCATGTGGGATCTAGTTCCCCAACCAGGTGTCAGACCCAGGTCCCCTGCACTGGGGGCGTGAAGTCTTAGCCACTGTTCCACCAGGGAAGTCCTCAGTTCAGTCTTTCAGTCGTGTCTGACTCTTTGCAACCCTATGAACTGCAACATAGGCTTCCCTGTCCATCACCAACTCCCAGAGTTTACTCAAACTCATGTCTGACAAGTCAGTGATACCATCCAACCATCTCATTCCCTGTTGTCCCCTCTCCTCCTGCCCTCAATCTTTCCCAGCATCAGGATCTTTTCCAATGAGGCAGTTCTTCCCATCAGGTGGCCAAAGTATTGGAGTTTCAGCTTCAGCATCAGTCCTTCCAATGAATATTTAGGACTGATTTCCTTTAGGATTGACTGGCTGGGTCTCCTTGCAGTCCAAGGGACTCTCAAGAGTCTTCTCCAACACCACAGTTCAACAGCAACAATTTTTTGGTGCTCAACTTTCTTTATGGTCCAACTCTCACATCCATACATGACTACTGGAAAAACCATAGCTTTGACTAGATGGACCTTTGTTGGCAAAGTGATGTCTCTGCATTTTAATATGCTGTCTATGTTGGTCATAGCTTTTCTTTCAAGGAGCAAGCATCTTTTAATTTCATGGCTGCAGTCACCATCTGCAGTGATTTTGGAGCCCCCCCAAAATAAAGTCAGCGACTGTTTCCATTGTTTCCCCATCTATTTGCCATGAAATGATGGGACCAGATGTCACGATCTTAGTTTTCTGAATGTTAAGTTTTTTTTTTTTTTTTAGTTCTACCAGTTTATTGCTACCAACCCATCTCCCTCCACCCTTGTGCACACATGCTCAGTCATGTAATCCCATGGACTTCAACCCGCCAGACTCCTCTGTCCATGGATTTTTTCCAGGCAAGAATACTGGAGTGGGTTGCCATTTCCTTCTCCGAATGCTGAGTTTTAACTCATAGCTATAGTTTCAAATAAATACCCTGGACCAAAGGACCCCAGCCTCTGATGTCACAATGTTGATAACAGCTTTTCCTTGGAGTATCCACCGCTGGAGAAGTTCCACAGTGGCTCAGAGCTCCCACAAGTTTGGTAATAAAGGAACACATACGCAGTTCACCTGGGCTTCCCTGGTGGCTCAGTGGTAAAGAATCCGTCTGCCAATGCAGAAGACTTGAGTTTGATTCCTGGGTTGGGAAGATCTCCTGGAGTTGTTTTTTTGTTGTTCAGCTGTGTCCGACTCTTTGTGACCCCACGGACTGCATCACACCAGGTTTCCCTGTCCTTCACTATCTCCTGGAGGAGATGTTCATTGAGTCAATGATGCCATCCAACCATCTCATCCTCTGTCGTCCCCTTCTCCTCCTGCCTTCAGTCTCTCCCAGCATCGGGGTCTCTTCCAGTGAGTCAGTTCTTTGCATCAGGTGGCCAAAGTATTGGAGCTTCAGTTTTAGCATCAGTCCCTCCAATGAATATTCAGGATTGATTTCCTTTAGGATTGACTGGTTTGATCTCCTTGCTGTCCAACAGACTCTCAAGAGTCTTCTCCAGCACCATAGTTCGAAAGCATCAATTCTTTGGTGCTCAGCCTTCTTTTTGGTCCAACTCTCACATGTGTACATGGCTAGTGGAAAAACCGTAAATTTAAGTGTATGGACCTTTTTCTCAAAGTGATGTCTATGCTTTTTAATGGGCTGTCTAGGTTTTTCATAGCTTTTCTTCCAAGGAGCAAGTGTCTTTTAATTTCATGGCCACAGTCATGAAAGTGATGGCACTGGATCCCATGATCTTAGTTTTTTTAATGTTGAGTTTTAAGCCAGGTTTTTTTTCACTCTCCTCTTTTACCTTCATCAAGAGGCTCTTAAGTTCCTCTTCACTTTCTGCCACTGGGGTGGTGTCTTCTACGTTATCTGAGGTTATTGATATTTCTCCCTCTGGAGTAGGAAATGGCAACCTGCTCCTAGAGAATTCCATGGACAGAGGAGCATGGCAGGCTACAGTCCATGGGGTTGCCAAGATTCGGACATGACTGAGCGACTGAGCCCATGCCGTTCACCACGGAGCATCTCAGACACACAGCTAACAGGTGTGGCGCTGCCTCCTCACTCTGTGGTCCTCCCAGATCCTTCCCAGGACAGAAGCCACTGCCCACTACTTTCCCTTCCTAATGAGCTGCATGCCCTTCAAAGTGCTCTAGGGTGTTCGGTTTTTTTTTTTTTTTAAATATATATGTATTTATTTGGCTGTGCCAGATCTTCAGTCTTTGTTGAGGCATGCAAGATCTTTAGTTGTGGCATGTGAACACTTAGCTGTAGCATGCGGGATCTAGTTCCTTGACCAGAGATTGAACCTGTCAGTCCCAGCAGAAGCGGGGAGGTCAGAGACTATTTTGGAGTTTGGGAAGGTTATGGGTGTCCTCTGATGAGAGCTATGGCCCCTCCCCATAAACACACACTCCCGTCACAGACACATACATCACACACATGCACACAGACATCACACATTTCACACACCCCTATCATGCTTGCACACACATGTGTCATATACACATACCACCCTGGCATACACTATGGAGGAATTCACAGCCCTCTGCCCAGAAGCCCACCCTTATACCCCAGATGAAGTAGCTCCACCCTAAGCCTGTCCTTCCAGTGTCACAGATGGGGAAACCCAGGCCCAGACCAAATGCTGTCTGCACTCTTCCTTGATTGTGCTAAAGAGCTGACACCCCCTCTGAAGTCAGGAGGCCTGGATTTGACCACTCATGGAGTGCTTTAGGTAGATGACATCTCCTCTCGGCCTCAGTTTCTCCATCTGTAAAACGGCAATAAAACTGGACACTGATTTTATGGGGTCAGCCCAGGTCTTCTTCTCCCAGGGGGGACTACAAGTGCCTGGGCCTCCCTCTTTTTCTCTCTAAAATAGGGATAACTGTGCCCACCTCACCCACGGAGGTCTTAAGATTAAACGTGAAGCGCAGGTGAGGTGCCCACGCACACAGTGGAGTGCACAGCTTCGGCAGCTTTTGTTGCATAGATGGACCGCTCCTCCTGCGTTGATGACTGGATCCCTCAAAAATATCCAGAGGGGATGCGGCCCCTGGCATCATTAGCCCAGGCTTGGTGGTTTGGGGTCCTGGCTGTGTCAGAGACCGTGGCCCGGCCTCAGTTTGCAACACGTGGTTGGGCACCTCGGAACTGGCACCCCGCCCCCAAAAGGGACACGCGGCACAGGGCACCAGGCTCAGGTGGGCACCTGGCGGGCTTCCTGGTGGGGGCGCCCGCCCCCCCGGGGCTCCTTCCGGGTTGGCAGCGGCGGCGCAAGGGGCGGGGGGCCGTGCGGAGGGGCCGGGCGAGGCCGGGAACGCGCGCCCCCGCCCCGCGCCCGCCTCCCGCCCGCCCTCCCGCCGCTGCGCTGGGAACCGGGATCCGCGCGTCCGGGGCGGCTGGCGGCGCGGCCGGCGGGCGAGCGGGCACGCCAGGCTGGGGGCGATTGCGAGGGGCCGCGCGCGGAGGGCTCCGGGCGCAGCATGGGCGGCCCGCGGGCCTGGGCGCTGCTCTGCCTCGGGCTCCTGCTCCCGGGAGGGAGCGCCGCGTGGAGCGTCGGGGGAGCTCCGTTCTCTGCGCGCAGGTAAGGGCTGCCCCCCACCCCCTCGGGGTTGGGGACCGGGATTCCGGGCACCCCCGCCCCCAACCTCCTTGTAAGCCCAGGATTGGGAAAGGGACCCGGTTCCCCACCCCATTGCCAGCCCCGGTGGGGGCAGGGACCCTGGGCCTCATTAGCTGGCAGGAGCTCCGGGCCGTGCGGGGAACCCCTGCTTCACGCACATATCCGGAGCCAGCAGCCCCCGACAGCGTTCTTCAGCCCCCACCACTTCAACTCCGGACCCCAGGGGAGGGGGAAGGGGCACGACGGAGGAAACCCCAAGATTTCCCTGTCCCCTCCGTAGGGCCCCCACCCTGCACGTAGGAGAAGCCCATATCACCCTCTGGCTGACACTTGGGGGACCCTCCCCCCTCTACTCTGCTCCTGGCTTTTTTTAGTATCCCAGCTATTTATTTCCCTCGAAGGAAGAAGACTGGGGTGGAGTTTCACAGAGGAGGGTCAGTGTCGGCCCCCAGGGACCTGGCATTTTGGACTGAGTGCTGTGGGAGCGCTCTGTCTTCCTGCCCGTCACTCAAGAGCAGGAACATGCTATCTGGTGGTGTTTATGGAGCACCCCCTAGCACCAGCCAGGGAGCCCTTCACATGCAGTGTTCAAGGACTGAATGAGTGAGGGAACACTTGTCCCCATTTAGCAGATGAGCAAATCGAGGCCCCAGAGAAGTGACAGAATCTTCTAGGCTCTCTGAGCATTGACAGAAGAACCGGGATTCAAATCTGTGTCTTTCTGGCCTTGGTGACACTGTTTGAACCTGCCCAGGCCCTGGTCCTGACTGTAGCCCCTGCCCCCGCTGGGGTCCCCTCTCAAGGGCCGGCCACTGCTGTTGTCTGAGGCAAACAATACGGAGTAGCCAGGCCTCTCCAGGCCTTTTCATCCCATTCAAAGGCCTGCCGGGCCCCCACCCCCTATGGCCTCAATTCTTTAATTCTTTTCAGAAATTCCGCTTTCCCAGTGGTCAGGGGCCAGCGTGTCCCTACTGGGCCAGCAAGAGCAGGTGACGCAGGCAGGGCTGGAGGGCAGAGGTGGCTGTGATGTCAGAGGCCAGAGGTGCAGTTGTCTGAGATGGGGACTGATGGCTGGCCGATGTCACAGCCACCACCACGCATGCTGACCTGGGCTGGCATTTTACCTGCACCTGTCCCCCTCCAGAACCTTTCCGACTGCCAGGAAGGCACACATTTGTATGGTCCTCATTTCATAGAAGACAAAGCTGAGGCTCAGGGAGGGGATATGACCTGCTGAGGGCAAGGACGTGAACCCTCAGGTTCCCAGGTGCCAGAATGACCAAGACTCTGAACTGGAAATATCAAGTGTTAAGCTCAGGGTGCTGGTTGAGAGGACATAAGGCCTGCACTGCCCTTCGGCCAGTCCACTGCCTCCCAGCCTGGGCTCCTTTCCCCACAGGGCTCCCCGTGTGGGAGCAGGACCGTGGCTGTGGGCAGGTGTCTGGTGGTCACTGGGGGCTGTCACCCAGTCATAGAAGGCTCAGAGTGGCCTGAGCATCACAAAAGCTCTGTAGGCAATGCTCTTGCTCCCATTCTACAGATAAAAAGACTGAGGCCGAGAGAAGAAACAGCTCCTCAATCTAAGTCAGTCAGTTTCCAGACCCAGTGTTTTCTTCACGCTGGCAGCTCTCTGGAGGAGGGAGCATGGGTGTCAGCTTGCGGAGCCAGGGAGGGTTTGCAGGTCATGGTCAGCAATCAGGGGCTCCTGCCTCAGTCACAGCAGGGTCTCCTTCCCGCTCTGTCACCCACTCAGTGTGCGACCTCGGGCAGGCCTCTCCGTGGCTCCAGGGCTCGGCTCCCCTCTAAGTTTCCTCCCTCTTCCCCTCTCCCCTCCCCTGCTCACAGGCCCGTTCTGAGGACGGTCCCAACCTGCTAACACCAACGTTAAGTGGCAGAGGGACCCTCGCCAGAGGAATCTGTGGTTCTGGGCTGCCAGGACCGCCCCTTGTGGCCCCAGCCCCTCCTCGCTGGGCCTCGCTGGAGACTGCATGGGGATGTCGTGCCTGTCACCCCCGCTCCAGCCCCACACCCCAGGCGCCCCTTGGCAGCCGAGGGACCAGAGGCAGAAAAGAGGCTTTGTGCCTGGGGAGGGGGAGGCCCGGGACAGCGTCCAAGGGGCCACCCCCAGGCCCAAGAATGTGGCGGGACTTCGAGACCCCCGGAACCACGGTGCCTGCGGGCTGCGCTGAGCTGCCTGAGCTCGTCTTGCCCCTGTCTTCACCCCAGTCCCTGCTGGGGCGGCTTCCTGCCCCTCCGAGGACCCTTCAGCCTGTCATGGCCCATCTGTGTCTCAGCACTGTGGCTCTAGAGTCGACGCCATCACCGGCGTCCTGGCCCAGACTCCTGCCTTGCAGTGTTGGCTTCCTTTGGGCAAATCCCAGATTCAAGGAGAGTGGAGAATTTTCTTCCCCATCCTCTCCCCGGGGAGCTCAGATCCCAGTGCTGCACTCACAGGGGTGACCTGGGTAGGTGACTTCTCTCGGGGCCTCAGTTTCCCCTCTGTAAAATGCAGAGCCTGACAGTCGCGATCTCAAAGTCAGGGCGGGGGTGGGGGGGGGACCTTGTGTGGAAGGTGCAGTACTGGTGTCCCTCGGGGAAGCCCCTGGACCCCAGCCTCCTGGCGTGGCCCCGTGTCACGGTCCAGGAACAAGAAGGACCAAAACGCCCGTCAGCACTGCGCTCACTCGGAGCTTAGCGTGACACCGTGCCCTGCTGGAGGAGGTCCTGCCGTCCCCAGGTGCAGATGGACAGAGTGAGGCCAGAGCGGGGCAGGGCTCGTCCGAGGTCACCAGGTTAGGGAGCAGCAGGGCCAGGGCTGGAGCCTGGCCTCCGGTGTGGGGTTCGGGCTCCGTCCACCCCACCCCCACCCGTGGGTCTTCTTTCTTTCCTCTCCTTTTCATAACGGCCCTTGGCCCCCAGCCCTCTTGGCTGCCTCCTGCAATTAGCCCCTATCACTGTTCCGGATCACAGCCCTGGGCCCTGTGGAGACAAAGTCCCCTGGGCCCCTTGTGGCAGGGGGTGGAGGGCAGGTGGGGGGGCCCTTGTGGGGGCAGCCGGTGCCAGGCCGAGCTGGTCTGGCCTGTTTTCTCTCCTCCCGGCAGCCTGTGGGGCCGCGGAGGTGCTGAGTGGGCAGGAGTGGCAGGCCCAGCAGAGGGGTGCTGTCTCCTCCCAGCCCCTGCCATCGCCTCGTCCCACAGGAGGTAACGCAGCCTCAGCGGGGTCTCAGGCGGCGTCTCACCAAGCATGCCCCGGGACAGAAGCCCCCAAGGGCAGCAGGCTGGAGGCGGGCCTTCCAGGGACCACGCCCATCTCTGGGAAACCCTGGGTCCTGGCTCTCCTGCCCAGGGCCGCTGTCTGTCCTCGGTAATTCAGTCATTCAGCAAACCTCCTGGGCGCCCTTAAAGCTGAGCCCCATCCTGGCTCGGTCCCCGCCAGCGCCCTCCCCCAGCACCTTCGGGGGGCGGGGGGAGAAAAAGCTCAAAGCTGCTGTGAGTGGCTGGGATGGGGGAGGGATGCCCTGCAGATGCCCAGCTGTGCCCACAGCCTCAGGAGGCTCAAAAGGAGCTTTCCGAAGCAGGGAATCTCTGCAAGGATCGGAGGTGGGGAGAGGGCGCTCACGGGGAGGGCAGGGAGGAGAAAGGGCGCCAGCACAAGTGTGCAGGGCTGAGCGGTCAGGGTGATGGGCAGCGTGGGTAATGTGGACTCCAGGCCGGTAGTGCCCCTGGAAAGTGGGCAGAGATGCCGGGCTGGAACCCTGCTGAGGAGCTCGGGTTTTATCCTGGCCACAGCAGGGCTGGGTCTTCAAGGCCAGGGAGGGGTGGGAAATACTTTTTGGTGACCTCCCCCCACACCAGGTGAAGGGCACGAGGGGCTGACCTTGAACCCCACCTGGCCTGACTGTCCTCTCCTGTCTAAAATCTCTGCTGGCCGGTCACCAGCTCGGTGTCCCCTATGCAGGGGAACTGGACTGGTGAGCAGGAAACCAGGGAACCAGACAGCAATTCACACAGGGGAGATCTCAACTAAGGAGGAAGAAAAAAATGGGCACCTCTGCCTAAGGGTCACCAGCCATGGGCTCTGCGGAGCTCCGGTGACATCTGGATTGGGATGGGCTGCTCAGAGGCCCCTTTCTCTGGCTTGCCCACCTCTGTGCTTTCAGCGGACTGTTTCCTCCTCTGGGATTGATTTCCGTGGGACTCAGAACAGTGAAGGGACGTCCCCAGAGTCCCATGGGGAGTTTGTCCACTGGTTCCTGCCAGAGACTTTTTCCTCCAGGTGGGCCGGCAGCCACAGGACTAGGTTTCCGGGGTGGGGGACACCTCCGCAGAGGCGGGACATTCCAGGTGCTCACCGGCCCTCAGCCCTGCTCAGGGTCACGGGCCTGGGGCTGGGAAAGGAATGACCATTTCAGGTGACCCTTCTCAGCTTGAGCCCCCACCCCACCAGACTCTCCTTTGTGGCCTGGAGTCCGGGGTCAGCAGGTTCCCAGGCAGAGGCCTTCACAGAGCCACAGACCGTGGCCCAGGGGATGGGGAGGAGACGGGAGCCCAGGCCCCTGGGAGGGAGGCGGGGGCTGGGCTGAGCATCCATATTCCTGGGTTCAAATCCAGACCCTCCACGCACCAGCTCTGTAACCTCAGCAGTTGTCTCCCCCTCACTGAGCCTCAGTCTGTTGTTCAATTCCTCAGTCGTGTCTGACTCTTTGCGATCCCATGCACTGCAGCACACCAGGCCTCCCTGTCCTTCCGTGTCTCCCAGAGTCTGCTCAAACTCATGTCCATTGAGTTGGTGATGCCATCCAACCATCTCATCCTCTGTCTCCCCCACGTCCTCCTGCCCTCAATCTTGCTTCAGTCTATTCCTCTGTTAAATGGGAGGGGCGGGGGGGGGGGCGTTGTTCCCAGCTGTGGGAAGATGATGTGAATATCTTTATTTTTTAAATGTTTATTTATTTGACTCCTCTAGGTCTTAGTTGCAGTGTGCAGGACCTTGTTCTCTGATCAGGGATGGAACCTGGGCCCCCTGCATTGGGAGCTCAGAGTCTTAGCCACTGAACCACCAGGAAAGTTGATGTAAATACCTTTGCTATACAGTCGGCGCTCAATATGTGCAGCACAGAATGATTATTCGGTGGCATTTGAAGGAGCCAGTCCTCCACACTTGGGAAGGTGACCCCGCTCCCGGCTGTCACTCAGAGGGGACCTGAGCATAAGTGAGGCAGGGCCTCTCTCCTACATGCCTCGGGGAGGGAGGGGCAGACGTGACTCACCAGCTGAATTCAGCGCGACAGGGATACAGAGTGGAAAACCACCGCTCTGCTCAGACGGGGGCGGAGGTGGGTGAGATCCAGGGAGAGGGCACAGCGGGGGGGAGGTGCCAGGAGAGAACGGGGGAAGGGTGCTCCAGGAGCGGACCCAGCAAAGGCCTGGAGGTGAGCAGCGCGTGGCAGGAGCGGGTGCAGGAGATGCAAAGGGCTGGGGTGGAGACACCCGGCCAGGTCTCCATTGTCTGACCCGCCCCACCCTGGGGAGAGAGTGAGGGGCAGGACCAGGGGAAACTGGCCTTGTCCAGGCGGGAGACGGTGGTGTGGCCTGGAAGGATCAGGGCTAGAGAGCAGATACCGAGGGGATGAGCCCCACTGAAGACGCCCCGCTCCCGTGGGACCCCTACAGCTCATTCCCCAAGACTCCTCCAGGGCTCCCAGCACAGCGGCCCACCCTTGCCCCCACCCAGGGCTCTGGGATTCACTCCTCACCACAGCGGCAGGGAGACTCCCACCAGGGCCCAAGGGCTCGGGGGGCTCAAGGGTCTGCCTGCCTGGAGCCTCGAGGTTTCCCGAGAGAGAGCGCACACGCAGGCTGTGGGAAACTCCCGAGCTTTCTGCCTGCTGGTCTGTTTCAGGAACTGGTGCTCCTACGTGGTGACCCGTGCCGTGTCATGCCACGTGCAGAATGGCACCTACCTGCAGAGGGTGCTGCAGAATTGCCCCTGGCCCATGAGCTGCCCTGGGAACAGGTGAGCGAGACCGTGTGGATCAGGAGTGCTGTGGTTGAAGGACTGGGGCTGGGGCTGGGGGGAAGCCCGGGACCCCAAGGGTGGGTGGACAGAGGGCCCGCTGCCCATTTCCCGGCACCTCCCGTTGGCTCTTGGGCCACCCTGGAGGGCTTCCTGGGGGAGGATTCCCCCATTCACCCGCACATCTTTACTCAGTGAGTGTTCACGGCTGGAGGACAGGCCAGCCCAGCTCACAGGGGCTTCCTGTCCAGTTATTTCTTGATTCCCCCACCCCTGGCCAGGGGCTGGGGAGGGAATGGAATGGCTGAGGCCCAGAATTCAAAAGGTGAGAAGCTCCAGAGAGGCCTGGAAGTGGCAGAGGATCCCAGGGCCCTGGGTGTGTCCTCACGGAGGGCAGGAGAGGGGGCGAGAGGTGCTGTCTGAGCTGGGCCCCCCGGGCGCTCTTTCAGCTACAGGACGGTGGTGAGACCCACGTACAAGGTGATGTACAAGATGGTGACGGCCCGCGAGTGGAGGTGCTGCCCCGGGCACTCGGGGCCGAGCTGCGAGGAAGGTAGGACTGCCCTGGGCCGGGCCAGGTGCCTCCCCGCAGGTGCGCAGGTGTGGATGGGACCCTGTCAGGACCCCTGGAGGAATTTCCTGTGTGATGTGTGGCTCATAATCTGAAGTTGCACATCCCAAGCCTTTCCTCCAGACTTGGGGACATTTCCACGGGAGGTGGTGATGACGCAGGGAAGGGTCAGCAAGATGGGGATGGCTGCACCCCATCCTGCAGGTTCTAAGACCAAGGCTCAGGATATGAGATGGGCACGCAGGTCCTCAGTGGTGGGATTCTGCCTGGCTTCCCCCAGGCCCTCAGTGATGGGAGGACCCAGCTGGGCAACCTGTGGCGAAACGTGCTCCAGGCAGAGGCACCCCCTTACCACATTCCCTTCCCTGCATGCAGCTCAGGGGGCTGGGCCGAGCACCTGACAGGGGTGCAGAGGAGGCAGCCCCCACCTCTTCCAGGCTACCACAAATGCTGTCTCCTCCAGGGGGTCTGCATATGCTGAGCGGTCCAGACTGCATCCACCCTCATGGTCTGGCTGAACCCAGGGAGTGGAAGATTTGGGGGCCCCCAGATTTGTGCTCCCAAGAATGGCCATAAGGAGGATGGACGGGCCTAGAGCCAGCCTGAGAACCAGGCCTGAAGGCCCCTTAATGGAAAGAGGTGCTGGGGCCCCCCAGTAGCACATTCATATGTGTATCAGTCAAAAGACATCCTGGTTCCAGAATCAAGGGACCATGATGCTATGGTCATAGGTGCTTGAGAGACTTACCCCCTTCACCTCCCTGGGGCCCACGGCAGCCCCACCTCACAGATGGGGCGATGGAGACCAGGAGAGGTGAAGTCACACAGGTGGGGGGCAGACTCCCCACGGAGAGGGGCAGGGAGGGGCCTGGCGGTTTCCATGTGGGGTGGGAGAGCCCCCAACCCAGTGGCGGGAGTCAGGCAGCCAGAGGGAGGGGGCAGCCTGGGTCTGGTAGGGAGAGGTGGTCACCCAGGCAGGTGTGGGAGGGGAGGGGAGGGAGGCGAGCCAGGAACTGAGCCCTCCCCGACCTGCTGGGGGTGACGGGGGAAGGCAGAAGGGCCCAGGGCCGGGAGGGCATCCAGCCAGGAGGGGCTGCCGCCAAGGAGGCTGCAGAGACGCTGGTGGTGAGGAGAGGGTGAATCCCCAGGGTGTGGGGGCCCCCCGGGTGCAGAGCACCTGTGCCCAGGCAGGGCCTGCCCGGACACGGGTTACCCTGTCCTTGGCTCCCCTCCCAAGGGCGGACCCTCCCAGGTCTGTTGGGCCATCGCAGGCAGGCGGGGGTGAAGGACAGGTGGGGCACGCCCACGGCTCAAGCGCCCCTGTCCTCGAGTCCAGCCGCCAGAGGCCGTGCGTCCAGGACCATGCCGAGGGCTGGGGCTCCGGGGAGGGCGAGTGGGGGCGGGAGACAGGCCTGGGGTGGGGTTGGCCCTGACCTTGCGGGACCTTGGAGTTCCAGCCTGGGGATGAGGGCTTCCTTGGCCTGGCCCGCTCAGCCACATACCAGCTGTGTGGCCTTGGGCCGGGGATGCCCCATGCGTTGTGCAAGGGCATCGGGCCGGGGAGGGGAGGCTGCGCTTTAGGCAGAACTTGTGGCCCTCGGGGGCGGGGGGTGGGGGTGGCCGCCTTCTCTAAAGGGCGCCGAGCCGCCTGGTGCTCCCTCCTGGCATTCTCCTACGTGGGGCCCCCGTGTCCTCACCTGTGAAATGGACAAAGTCACGCAGTCTGCCTCTCGGGGATGTTGGAAGGACGTGAAGCGGGTGGTGTGGCCGCGAGGGGGGTAGCATGGGATACCCACTGGGACGGGAAGGGCCTCTCCCCACCCACAAGACCAGAGCGAGTAAAGGGAGACCCAGGCCTGCATGTTCCCGAAAACTGCCCTGGGGGTGGGGGGTGGGGAAGCATGAGGACACTGCCGGCCCACGGGGGGCCCTGACCTTCCTGTGACAGCCAGCTTCAGGCTGGGCCCCCAGCTGTTGCCCTGCTGACGGCTGCCCCGTGGTCTGTCCAGTGCTGTGACGTGACCTGAGGCCAAGGAGCTGCGTCACCAGGGCCAGCGGGGCCCAGAGTGAGTCAAAGAGGGAACGGAAGCACCTGTCACTCCAGAATCCTGCCTGGACTGTGCTCTGCTGTGTGACCTTGGGCAAGCCACTTCACCCCTCTGAACCCCATCTCTATTTGGAGTTCACCTGGGATCGAGAGGTGCCCGTCTCGTACCTTACTGAGAAGGCCAGAGGCTCACATCTCCAACATGGCTGCTTAATAAATGTCTTCCTTTCCCCTTTGGGCCCCTGTGCTGGGGGGTCTGCACTGCCTCCCACCTCTGAGACCCCCCCTTCTCCGTCAGCTGTTCAGCAAACAGGCCTCTAGTCTCTGGTATTCGTGAGGCCAGCAGACTTCTGGTTGGGAGTTTCGCTCCGTGAGGATGGTTGAGGCTGGTCTCTTTGATGTTCTTGATAATGAGGAGGAAGGGGCTAGAACAGGCCTCTTCATGCAGATGGAGAAACAGGCTCAGAGACGATGTGGTATCACTCATGGTCACACAGCAAGTAAGCGTCCTGGCCGGGATTCTCCCCAGGGCTCAGACCTGAGGTCTGCAGCGTGCCCCTGCCTCAGACCCTCCTGCAGTCACCATGACGACGGGAGGAAAGCTTCCACCGGTCCCCTTTGCTGAGCACCAGGGCTGGTCCTCACCTGCATCGTGCCCTCTTGTCAGGGTGCCAGAGGTCCGGATGTGGAAACTGAGGCTGAGAGAGTGGTCAGAGCGGGATTCAAAGCCCTTCAGTCCCACTGGAGCTGGGTCTTCCCTCTGCAGTGACGCTGGCCGGGGACTTCACCCGGCGCGTTCAGACACCCCGGAGTGAGGCAGCCAGCCTCAGCCCCTCCCAGACAGAAAGACAGAGAATCCAGGCTCCTCACCTGCCCCTCCCTGTGGCTCCCCCAGAGCCTCCACTGCCCCCCCTCGCTGTCCGCACTGGTCCCCCACACCTGTCCCTTCCCTCTCCGTGGACCCCCGCAGCCCTTGTCTTCTGCGGTGGGGGAACAGCAAGGGAAGAAGTTTGCTCAAGGTCACATGGTAGGAAGCACTTTCTGGGCCACCTGGCTTCTGCCTGTCCAGGGCTGGGCCCTTCCCGAGCACAGCTTTCATGCTCTGACCAGATGTGCGGTGCAGAGCGGAGCCCGTGTCTTACTTCGCAGATTCGGAATCCCGCATGTTAAATGCTGTTGGAATTTGCCCGGATCTGCCGTCCACTCCACTCCTGCCACCGTTCCACTCCTGTCTGGGAGGTCTTGAAGGCCCCCACCTCCAACTCCGCGGGCACATCCTCCACCCCCCCATTGGGAGGCTCCCCCTCCGCCCTCCCAGCTGCCTCCGCCAGGCGCCCCAGCCTCGCCCTCCCTCCTTTTCAGCCCGGGGCCCGCTCTGGCCTTGCTCCCACCCCAGAGCCTGGGCAGTGGCTGTCCTCTCTGCCTGTGACCTCCTTGGCGCTCCTGCCTGGCTCCGTCAGCCCCCACCCTTCCATCATTAATCCTGTCTCTCCGGTTCCCGGCATAAGTCTGGCGTCAAGTGGGTGCCCGGGAAGTGAGTGGGGGACCTCGTGTTCCCCCAGGAGGGCCCAGGACCGACACAGATCAGAGCCTCCCAGAGGGTTGTTGGAGCTCCCAGCCCCAGGCCTGACCCTGGACCCTGGCTCAGGCCAAATATTTACATTTGCAGAGTAAATTCCCAGGAGGGAGCTGGGCTGGGCAGGGGAGGTCCTGTGGTCACTGGACCCAGCAGACCTGGGGGGAGCGTTCCGGAGGAAGAAGCCCCTCGGACAGAAAGTCAGAGGTGGAGCCCAGGGACACCCCCAACTCCTCACACCATCCCAGCTGAGGGGGGGATTTAAACCCCGTGCCCTGCCTCCTTCCCCCTCCCACAGCCTCTGCTCCCTGGGCTGCAGTGTTCTCACGAGGAGCACAAGACACTGGGCAGTGGGGGGCGGCTGCTGCGGGCCACAAGACTGGAAACTGCAGATGGCGCGGGCCCTGCGGAGGTCAAGGTGGCGTGATGAGAGCTTTGGCGGAGCTGGCTTTAGTGGGTCCCCTGGTCTGTCCAGGAAGACTTTCTGGAGGAGGAGACATGGGAGCAGCAGCTGTGGGAATGGGGAAGCAGCGTGTCTGCGTGCGTGTGTGTGTGTGTGTGTGTGTGTGTGTGTTCAGGGCTGGCCAGCATCTCCCAGGTGGGGGATGTGGTCCCAGGGAAGTGGTCCAGTCAGGGTCCCAGAGTAGAGCCAGGGCTTGTGGTCCTGGGACTAGCCTGGAGCTCTTTGGAGGGCAAGGTTGGGGCTGGGGAGGGGCCCTTCAGGATGGACCACCAGGCTGGGGTGAGGGGGTTCTCAACCCACTGGGGCCTGCTCCAGGGGTCCCGATTCAACACCAGTGGGAGGGATGTGACATTTCTGTCCTACAGGAGACCTTTCCAGCCCGAGGATTTTTCCCTACTGGAATTTTGTGTGGTATAGGGCCATTTGGGCTTCCCTGGTGGCTCAGTGGTAAAGAACTTGCCTGCCAATGCAGGAGACTCGGGTTCAATCCCTGGGTCAGGAAGATCCCTTGGAGAAGGAAATGTATTCCTTCTCCAGTATTATTCCCTGGAGAATTCCACGGATAGAGGAGCCTGGCAGGCTTCAGTCCATGGGGTCGCAAAGAGTCAAACAGGACATAGCAGCTAAACAATAGCACCATTTACAACCTGGCTCAACTCTTGAAGTATTCCTGTCCATTTATTAGAGTTTGGGGGAGTTGAGGGGATCATCTTTTGTGAATCTGAAACCAGAGCCAGTATCTTCTGGTGTTTTTGACAGTTTTTGTTGTTTATTTAAACTTTCTTTTTTAAAAAATTTTAGCTCTCAATTTCTTTGAGCCAATTACGTCTCCACTGCTGGTCAGGCCATGTTTTCGTTAGTTTTTCTAGTTCTCTCTGACTCCTGGTGAAATGGTCCAAAGCAATTAGATTGAAAAAGAATTTGCAACCACACGTTTATAGATTAATAACTCGGGGACACCCTAACATGATGTTAGAACACTTACGTTCATTTTCAAGGCAGCTGTGTCTGCCGTCCACATTATTTTGCCTTTTGTTTGGTTGCTTTACATTTATTTTCAGCCAGCGACTCATGCATTCCTCCGTAAGAGGTTGGGTGAAGCTTCTGAGGCCCTACTGCGTGCTGGGTACTTTCCCCGGCCACATGCAAGATGGATGAGGTCCTTGCCTGGTGGGGCTCACATTCTAGCCGGGGGGTGGCGGCGGGGGAGCAGGAGATCAGACTGGGAGCTGGCAAGCAGATGACATTTTTGAGGTGGAAAGTGCCGTGGAAAACAGGGAAGACGATAGCAGGGTGGTGGGGAGGGCGGGCAGGGCAGATGCTCTGCCAAACTTCACCCCAGGGCAAACCCACACTTCCCCGGGGCTGGGGGACGGTCGCTTCTTTTGGTTGACATCCTGCAAAGAGTCAGCCAGTGGCCCTTTTACAGCTTCACCTGGGAGCAAAGAGGATGAAGAGGGCTTCATCAAGGCTGTTCTTCTCAGGAGCCAGCCTCCTTGATGGGCGCTGGGCCTCCCGCCTCTGCCCACCTGGACTCGGGGTGCCAGGTGGCCCAGGAGAAAGGATGCTGGGTCCCGGAGTCAGACCAACCCAGGTTCCATTCCAGGCTCCAGCCCTCAGCTGGGCGATCAGTCACTTCCGCCTCTGCCTCGTTGCCCCTCAAAGGGAGAGATTCATATTCGCTCATCCATTTATCGGAGCTTGGGGGACAGAGGAGTGGTAACACCAAGCTGCCCTGTGCCTCAGTTTCCCCACGTGTAAAGCAGAGGGGATACTGGTGTCCCCTTAACTCGCCCCTTAACTGGCGAGTTAAGACTGTATGAGAGGCACTCAGGATGTGCCGGGCCCAGGAAAGTGCTGAACAACCATTAGCTGCTATATTCCCTACCTTGTAGGATCCAGCTGGGCTATGTGAAGCTCTCAGCCCTGGGCATGGCTCACAGTGGCATTCCCCCCTAATTTCCCACAAGCCCCCAAGCCCTGCCCCTGTTGTGGGCTGCCAACCGACTGCCCTCCATCCCAGGTGAGATTTACCCCTTGTGAGGGGGCACATTGCAGGCCCCGGGGAGGGTACATGGGGGATTCGGGCTCAGCCTGAACGAGGGCCCCGTGGTGGAACCCAGAGAGGGCCTGGCAGCCTCCCTGCTGGGGGACGGCCAGGGGGACCCGTCTGGTTTGAATTCCCGGCGCCGCTCGCTCGCTGCACCAACCCGCAGCCTGGCTCTGAGCTGCCAGGCCCGTGCCTTATTTGGGTCTCATCTGCCCCCAGGCGACACTGCGTGGCCTTAAAAGGCAGGCCCGGGGGTAGTGGGGAGAGGGGGCAGTTGCCACTGCTGGCTCCAAAGCCCCTCCAGCTGCGCCCTGCTCCCCTGGCTTGGCCGGCCCAACCCTCCAGCTGTGGAGAAATCCAGGCCCCCAAAGCCAGATCAGCCCGAATGGGCTGCTCCTCACAGGGGTGGGCTCCTGGAATGGGCCCCCCCGTACCCTCCCAGGCAGCCAGCTGCCCTCTGGTTTTCATTTAAAACCAGAGCTGGATCCACTTTGGTGTTTTCTTACCAAGTGGGGCAGCGAGAGGGTGGATGGTGACGATGCTGTGTTTATTTACTGCCGACTGCATGCCAGGCCCCCGTGTGTGCTCAGTGGGCCCTCTGCACGCATGGCCGGCCTCAGGCCTCACGCCAGCCCGGGAGGTGTATAGAGGGCCTCATGACCCCATTTTACAGATGGGAACATCGGCAGGTCCAGGGAGAACAAGCCACACAGGCCCGATAGCGGCAGGGCTGGGACCTGACCCCGAATCTCTTGGCTCAAGCTCTGAGCCCAGGCAGCTTTCTGGGCTTGTTGGAGAAGCGCCCGGCCACCTCTCACCCGTCATCAGCCCCTCCCCAGCCCCATAAGGCTGACAGCCTTGTCCCAGCTCGGCCCACTTCATGCTGTGTGACTCTGGTAAACCGTCCCACCTCTCTGGGCCTCCATCTTGCTCTGCACCAAGGGGAATAGTGATCCACGCTGTGGCTACAGCAGTTGGGGGGGAACAACAAAACGTCACGGCCAGCAGGCCCTCACCCTTGCTGTCCTCAGTTGCAGGCTCCTCTGGCTTCGTGGAGCCCGGGTGGTCGGGCAGCGCCACGCGGCGGATGGCACTTCAGCGCACAGGCTTCTCAGGTGGGTCCCAGGGCAGCTGCTTGGGGTCCCCCTGGGCCAGGGGAGGCTGGAGGGGCTGGTGGTGACTGTCCTAAAAGCCAGCTGGGTCCAGCAGTGGAGCACCCTGCCCCCATCCACCGCAGGCTGGAAAGAAAACTAGGGGTGGGATGAGGAAGGGCTCCCCGAGGGGAGTCTGCCCTGGGCCCAGGCACCTGAGACCCAGGACCCCCAGAGTCTTGCAGACATGGGTCCAAGCCCCCAGTTTCCTTTTCATTGAAAGAACATCTGTCTGAGCAACTGCAGGGTGAGAGGCCCCATGCCAGGAGCTTTCCATGGTCGCCTTGTATAAAGCTCCCCCCAGGACGGTGCCACCGTCGCTGAGGGTCAGAGAGGGGATGTGCCCTGCCCAGGACCCCACGGCCTGGGCGGGGCAGCGCTGGGCTTCCACCCCAGGCTTTGTGCTTGGGGAGACCCCGGGTCCCTTTGCCTGAGCTCAGCGTCCTGGTGTGCACAGGGTGATACCTGTCCTCACACGCAGGATCGTGGTGAAGACCAGAGAGACGTGCGTGTAGCGTGCTCGGCTGCTGCCGACACTGCTGTGAATAACGTCGGGGTGTCGCTGAGGAGGCCGGGGGGCTGGATGGTGGTTCTGGGGGAAGGCTCAGAGGGTGGCATGGCGGTCCAGCCCAGTCTGGACTGTGTGGGGTCCCCAAAGCCAGCATACCACGGCCAGCCCCGCCCGGGGGAGGGGGAAGCAGCAGGCATTTCCCTCCCCACCCCACCCTGTTTGGGATGAGGAGTCAGGTCCCTGGTCCTGCCCTGGGAGAAACAGTCCCCTTGGAGGCTCGGGAGCCAAAGGACACCCGCAGGGTGTGGTCCACCCTGGACAGGCTGTGACTCTGTAGCCCCGTCCCTGCCCTGAGCTGTCTCATGGATTGGGGTCATCAGGTATCTGTCCCCTCCCTCCATCCTGCCCCCAGGAACCTGGGAGCCCCAACCCAGCCTGCTTCCTCTCCACAGGTTGTCTCAACTGCAGCAAAGTGTCAGAGCTGACGGAGCGGCTGAAGGTGCTGGAGGCCAAGGTGGGTGAGCACCTTGCCTGCCAGGCAGGCACCACCCTCCCCCCAGTGCCCGCCCTGGGAAGCCTGCTCACGGTCAGACAGCCTGCTCTCCCGTGCCCGCCCTGGGAAGCCTGCTCACGGTCAGACAGCCTGCTCTCCCTCCAGGAGGCCCGTGAAGCTCTCCCAGCCCCAACCCCTCCCAGAGACTCCTAGACGCCCCCCAGAGCTTATAAATGAGTCCCCTCATTGCCCCAACACCTTCATCCTTTATCCCCCACCCTCACCACAGTGCTATCTTCCCATTTCCAAAAAGCAAAAACATGTACTGCATGTCTCAAATTATCTCAAGATAAAAAGATTTTAACAACTAAAAAGTAAGACATCCTAAAGTTAGAAACATGAAAAACTCAGAACCACGATCAACCTACCAGAAAACCATCGGCCTCGGTCGCCTATGCCCCCCAAAGAGAGCAACTGCCAACATCGAAGCATCTTTTCTTCCAGATTTTCTAAAGACATGTAGAGACTTTTAAACTTTATCTGCATATCCATTGCCTCCTCCTGGAATTTATCTTGAGATTAGATTCTAAGATGTTCACCCGAGTGTTAACTCTTCAGAGGGAGATTTGAAAGCCCAACAACAGAAGGGGTGGTTGCCGACTGAGTGAACATGGCTCGGTGGAATGCTAGGCAGCCATGAACAGCGCCTACATTTGCTAACATGGAAAGATGCCCCTGATGTATGACTACCAAGTGGAAAACCCAAGTTTCTAAACAACATGGGGTGGAACCCCTGTTATGCGGTATGAACACCCCCAGAACCTCACCCTGCTCCCCAAGCTCCCTCCCAGGGAAAGCTGGCTTAAGGGGCAGCTCCGCTCAGTTCCAGGTTAGCCGCCCTCTGGGTAGGCACACACGGCCCTCACCTCCTACTTAGCAGGCAGTCTGGCCTTTCTTAAGCCCCGATCAGTGGCTCAGTGGACACTGTTGACCGTTCAGGCCCTTGCCCCCTCACTGAGTCCAAACAATGGGTTTTTGTTTGTTTATGTTTTTTACTTTTTGGTTGCACCAAGAAGTACATGGCATCTTAGCTCCCTGACCAGGAGTGGAACCCGTGCCCCCTGCAGGGGGAGCACAGAGTCTTAACCACTGGACCCCCAGGGAAGTCTCCAAAAGTGGTTTTGTACACACCTCTGCACTTCTGTTTCATGACAGACCCTCCCGAATTTCCCTTCAAATTTAGTAAAAAATCCTTCCAACCTGTGGTGTTTTAAGACACCAAGAGAAATGCCATGTTATATATGCATGTAAATGTACTTAAATATACATACTCACATGCAGGTAAACACAGGAAAAAACTGCACAGCCTAACAAACACGGGGACAGTCTCAGAAGCCAACGTGGGTGGCTGTGATAGCCTGTGATGACTTTCCTACAATGAATGTGATGAACCACAGACACTTCTGATGAAGTTCTGGGCCCCTGTGAGCCTGGTCTCCAATCCAGGCTGGGTTCTGCTGGCCGCCTGGCCTCCCAGCCCCGCCTCCACGGGGCGAGCTGGCCTGTCCCTGGTGAGACGCTGGTCCCACCCCACCGTCCTCTTCCTCCACAGGTGGCGGTGCTGACTGTCACGGAGCGGGCAGCGCCCCCGACCCCAGCTGCCCCTGAGGACCCCGCCCCGCTCTGGGGTTCCCCAGCTGTCCAGGGCAGCCCCGGGGATGGAGGCCTCCGAGGTGAGTGGGTCAGTGGGGAAGGCGCTCCTTCCTGGGAATGAGCTGCGGGGAGCGAGACTCCAGCCCGCGCTGCCGCTGGCTCCCAGCTTGACCCCCATGCGGGCCTCAGTCTTTCCAGCTCGCCAATGTGTCTCCAGGGGCCCCTGAGCACTGGGGTCCAGGGAGGCCCGGCAGCTGGTGGAGCTGGGGCAGAAACCCTGGCTAACACTAACCCCGCCTAACCCCCCCACCCCAGGGCTGCCGGGAAGCAGAGAAAACCAGAGGCCCCCTCTGCTCCCTCGAGATGGTAGGTGCTGGTGTGGGCGGGGCCGGGGCGGGGCCGGGGCGGGGCTGAGCAAGGCCGGAGCTGTCCAGCTGTTGTCTTCTCTCCCCCCAGATCGAGTTGGTGCCCGGGGGCTTCCTGGGCCCGCTGGGCCCAAGGGAGACCCTGGCAGCCGGGGCCCGATGGGGATGAGAGGCCCACCAGGTGAGTGCCAACAGCACTGCCCCTTCTAGCAGTGCCCCCTAGCAGGAGGGCCCGGACTGGGGCCTGCCTTCCCACCCTGATGTAGCAGAGGTGGCCTGGGGCTCTTTCCGCTCACCCATCTCCTGACTTACCCCTTCTCCAAAGGTGCCCACCACCCCCCACCAACGCCTGGGCCCCCTGCAACCTGCTTTTGCATTCACTTGGCCCATCCACCTGCTATCCTATTCCCAGCTTGAAGCCGGACACGTGGGGGTGGGTCGGACCAGACCCTGCCCTCCCGGGGTTCCCAGGCGAGGGAGGCCGGGGAGGGTGGGCCTGGGCAGAGGAGGAACAGCAGTGCCCCCCTCCATGGGACCAGGGTTCTTGTGGGGGCCGTGGCTGCTATGGGAGCCCCAGGGAAGGAAGCCCAGACCCTGCCTGGGTGGGGTGGGGGATGGGAAGGGCTTCCCAGTGGGAGCGACACCTTAGATGAGGCCTAGGATGACCTGAAATGCATGCCAGGCCGCATAAAGGGAGGACCAAGAGAGGGAGCAGCTCGTGCAAAAGCCTGGAAGAGAAAGGACGTTCTGGAAATCAGCATCTGCTCAACACCTACTGTGTACCAAGTGTCCACTGTCCTCATGACGGCCGGGGAGTCAGTGACGGGAGCTGCCCTGCTTGTGGCCCCTGGCACCCTCTGTACCCACTGCCCCAGGCGGCCCCCTCCCTCCCCCTTTCAGCCATCCCGAGCCTCCCTGCCTCCAGCACACCCACCAAACCCTGGTTCCATTGCAGGTCTGCAGGGCCCCCCAGGGAGCCCTGGCCAGGCGGGAGCTGTGGGCATCCCGGGAGAGAGGGGACCTCCAGGGCCCCCAGGCCCTCCTGGCCCCCCTGGGCCCCCAGCCCCTGTTGGACCACCCTACACCCGGATCTCCCAGCATGGTGAGTCGCTTGGGGTCACAGCAGGCCCAGCTGGCGGTGGGGTGAGGCTGGCGTGACCATCTGCTGGGCAGCTTCTGTATACCAGGCTTGCCCTTGGGCCACCCCTCCAATGGGCACCATTGTCAGGAGGACCAAGGGCCAGAGCGGGGAGATCACACAGCCAGGGCCCGAGAGGCTGGCTTCAGATCCTTGCAGCCTCCACAGCCTCTGCTGGGAACCACCGGCGTCAGGCCCTCCCACCAAGCCTCGGAGCTGGCCGGGATCCAGCCCGCAGAGCTCCGGGAAGCTCAAGGCCTGGCAGCAGAACGTCAGCCCTGAACTCCCAAGGCCACAGCCCTGCCCCAGCACTCAGAGAGGCCTGGCCCCTTCTGCCCAGCTGGATCCTGCCGTGCCTCCTCCTTCGAAGCCTGACCGGCATGCCTGCTGCTGGGGTCGGCGTTTAGAGTGCCAGGTTCAACCCCATCCACATCATACCTTTGCTGCGAGACCAGGCACCATTCATTCGTCCCCCCCCGCCCCCACCAAGCCTCGGTTTCCTCATGTGTGCCATAGAGATTGTGACGGTGCTGGGTCCCAGGGCTCTATGACACCCGTGCACAGAAGCTGGGCACAAAGCCGGCGTCAAAGATGGTAGCTTCCTCGACTTCCCTGGAGGGCCAGGTGGCTGAGTCTCTGCACTCTCAGAGTGCGGAGGCCCAGCTTCAATCCCTGGTCAGGGAACTAGATCCCACATGCCACAGCTAAGATTTCGGACATGGCAACAAAGACCCAGTGTAGCCAAATAATTTCTTTTTTTATTGGTAGCATTCATTATTATTCCCATCAGACCTGTGACAGTCCAGGTTCAGAGAGGTAGAATCTTGCTGGATGTCAGCAGCTAGACTGTGGCAGTTAGAACCCAGGTCTCCTTGCAGCCTGGTCCTGTGTAACCTGCGCTTCCCCCACCACCCGCCTTGGCACAGGTTACGGTGGCCCCAGCCACAGCCTAGGGACTGCCCCACAGGGGCACAGCAGTTAAAGCTGGCTTGGCAGAAGAGACAGGTTGACTGTCTGCCTCACGCTGCCCCGCGCAGCTCCGCCCTGCTTGCTCACCATCCTTTCTCCCCAGGGGACCCGTTTCTGTCCAACACCTTCACTGAGACCAGCAGCCACTGGCCCCAGGGACCGGCTGGGCCCCCAGGCCCCCCAGGCCCCATGGGTAAGTTGAGTCCAGGCCTGGGGTAAGGGGTAGGGCTGGCCGTGAGGAGGGAGCTGAGGGTGGAACTTCCTGGTGCTGTACTGTTTTGACCCTGAGGACATGCTGTCTGATTCCAGGTCCTCCTGGACTTCCTGGTCCCATGGGGAGTCCTGGGAGTCCTGGACATATGGTGAGCATTTCTCCAAGTTCTCCACTCATCTGTCCATCCACCCCTGACCCAACCCACCCATCCACTCACCCTATCCACCCACCCACTCATCCATCCACCATCCATTCCTCTATCCTTCACTTATTCACTCGAGCCGCCATGGAGCACTTAATGTGCAAACTACTTTCCATGAATCTTATTCAGTCCACATGGCAAGGAACAGGTGTTGTTATCACCCAAGGACAAGAAAGGAGGTGGAGATTCTTGCCCTAGGGCTGTGGCCAGCACCTGGCAGCTTCCAGATCAAAGTGGGGACTGCCTGACTCCACCGTAGCTTGAACACTGACCTGTGTCAACTTCCCACTCCGGGCAGGCCGCCGGCTATGTGGTGAAGGGCCCAGAGGCCCAGACCAAGCTGGGGAACCCTCCCCTGCCCCTCTGCGCCCCAAGCTCCTGCCCACTCCACCCTGCCCTGGCACAAGGCTGAGGCCCTGTCTTGTTGCTCAGGGACCCCCAGGCCCTACTGGACCCAAAGGAACCTCCGGCCACCCTGGGGAGAAGGGCGAGAGGGTGAGTATTGAGCTGGAGGTGGAGGATTCTGGGGAGTCCTGGGAGCCCCGGGCCAGACCCTCTGACAGCTCACTCCATTCCTCTCCTCCCTCCTGCAGGGACTGCGGGGGGAGCCTGGCCCCCAAGGCTCCATGGGGCAGCGGGTAAGTGACGCTGCTCAGCCAGCAGCACCTCTCCAGGAGCCCACAGGCCCAGACCCCTGCCACGGCTCCATCCCCTGGGGCCGAGCCCCCGACCCTCCCGGGCCGGTCCAGCGTGAGCTCCAGCTCCATTCTTGCCCCCATGTCAGGGTCCCATCAGCCGCCTCCGTCCCCCCCGCTCTGGCTCTGTGTCTCTGGGCCTCTTTCTCTGTCTGCCCGTTGTGTGTCCTTCTCTCTGACTCTCTAGCTCTCTCTTTGTCTCTCCCACTCTGGTTGTGGATCTGTCTATTTCTCCCTTTACTTTGTCTTCTGTAGTGGTTCATACAGTGAAGAGTCTGCCTGCAGTGCAGGAGACCCTGGTTCGATCCCTGGTCGGGAAGATCCCCTGGAGAAGGAAATGGCAACCCACTCCAGTATTCTTGCCTGGAGAATTCCATGGATGGAGGAGCCTGGCAGGCTATAGTCCATGGGGTCGCAAAGATTCGGACACAACTGAGCAACTTCACTCCCTTTAGTTTGGTCAATTTATGCTTCATATTTTTTTTTTAATTTATTTATTTGGCTATGCCTGGGCTTAGTTGCGGCATGTGGGATCTAGTCCCCTGACCAGGGGTGGAACCCAGGCCCTCTGCATTGCGAACAGTCTTAGCCACTGGACCACCAGGGAAGTCCTTGCTTCATGTATTTTGAAGCTTTGTTATTAGATGCATACTCAGTCAAGATTTTAATGTCTTCTTGGTCCTTTTATCTTTATGAAATGAATATCTTTCTCTTTGATAACACTTCTTGTCTTGAATTCTACTTTGATATTAAAATAGCCACTCAAGCTTTTTTTATGCTTGCTGTCTGCATGGTATGTGTCTTCCAATCCTTTTACTTTCAACCTATTTGTGTCCTATTTAAAGTACATCTTGTAAAAAAGACGTGTACTTGTGTCTTACTCTTTGAAACAGTCTGACTATTGAGTTCATTACATTTAATGGTATGTATCCCTACTGATATGCGGGAGACCTGGGTTCAGTCCCTGGGGCGGGAAGATCCCCTGGAGAAGGGAATGGCAGCCCACTCCAGTGCTCTTGCCTGGAGAACCCCATGGACAGAGGCGCCTGGCGGGCTACAGTCCGCGGGGTCACAAAGCGTCGGACTCGACTGAGCGACTGAGCACACATCTCATCGCTGCTGATACGGTTTGGTTTAAGTCAACCATCTTGCTGTTTGTGTTCGTTTCTCCAGTCTCTCCTTGACATCTTTCTTCCCTCTTCTTTTCCTGTCTTCTTTTGGACTGAGAATTGTTTACAACTCTGTGTTATCTCCGCTAATGATGTTTTTATTATACCTCTTTGTGTTATTCTTCTGTGGTTGCTCTAAGGATAACAAAATGTGTCCTTGACTTAGCACCATTTACTTGAATTATGATACCTTTCCGTGTATAAGTAAAAACATTACATATGTATAATTCACCCCCTTCTGTCCTTGTGCTGTTGCCGTCACGTATTACACTTCTGTATTTGTTTTAAGCCCGCAATACACTGTCATTATTGCTTTAAACAACCAGTTGACTTTTAAAGAAGTTTAAAAAATGAAAAAAAAAAAGTATTTTACATCTAATGATGTGTTTGTCATCTCTGAAACTCTCCATACCTTCCTTTAGATTCGGATTTTCATACAGTATCATCTCTCTTCAGCCTAAAGAACATCCTTTAGCCTTTCTTGTAATGTGTGTCTGCTGGCAACAAATCCTCACTGCTTTTGTTTATCTAAAACTGTCTCTATTTAACCTTAATTTTTGGAAGTTATTTTCACTGGCTATGAAATGATAGGTTGGCAGTTTCCTCCCCCTTTAGTACTGTAAAGATATTGTTCCGTGGTCTTCTGGTTTACGTAGACGATTATAATTTCTCATGAGAAACTGGCTGTTGTTCCTACTGTTTTTCCCCAGTGCATAATATGTCTTTTTTTTCCTTTGGCATTTAAGACTTTTCTCTTTACCCTTGGTTTTCATCAGATTGATCGTGGTGTGGTTGGGTGTGATTTTTTTGTGTTTATTCTGCTTTGGGTTGGCTGAAATTCCTGGATCTGTAAGGTTTCTGGGTCTTGCTTTTGTTGGTTATTTTGTTTAGTGAATACAATTCTTTTTTACAGCATTTTTTGAGTTCACAGCAAAATAGAGTAGAAAGTACAGAGAGTTCCCATATTGTCCCTGTCCCCACACGTGGATAGCCTCCCCCACCACCAACATCTCACATCACAGTGATTCGATGCAGTTGATGAACCCAGATTGTCATGTCATTATCACCCAAAGTCCATAGTTTACATTAGGGTTCATTCTTGGTGTTGTACAGTCTAAAGATATTGTTAGATGTATCATGATATTTATACACCATCATAGTATCATATAGAATATTTCACTGCCCTTAAAATCCTCTATGCTTTGCATACTTATCCCTCCTTCCCCTATAACACCTGGCAACCACTAATCTTTTAACCGTCTCATATGTTTTTGCTTTTTCTAAAATGTCATATAGCTGGAATCATGTGGTATGTAACCTTTTCAGATTGGCCTCTTTCACTTAGTAATATATATTACAAGTTCTAGCTTGTCTTTTCATGGATTGATAGCTCCTTTTAATTCTCTTGGTCTGAATATTACTTCATATGTGCCACAGTTCATTTATCCATTCACCTACTGAAGGACATCTTGGTTGCTTCCAAGTTTTGGCAATAGTGAATAAAGCTGCTATAAACATCTAGGTGTAGGTCTTTGTGTGGATGTAAGTTTTCAGTTACTTTGGTTAAATATCAATGAATGCAACTGCTGGATCATATGATAAAAGTAAGTTTAGTTTTATGAGAAATGTTTTCTTGTAAGAAACACTGTGTGTATGTGTGTGTGTTGAGAATACTTGAGATAGACTCTTAGTAAATTTCAATTCATTCTGGTCACCATACTATATATTAGATCCTTAGGTTAGAATTTAGTCATCTGGGAGCTCCCTGGCAGTCCAGCAATTAGGATTCAGCACTTTCACTGCCACGTCCCAGGTGCAGTCTCTAGTTGAGGGAATGAGATCCCTCAATCCCCATGGCTCAGCCAAAAGAAAAAAAAAACTTAGTCATCTTATAACTAAAAGTTTGTATCCTTTCACCAACCTTTTTCCATTCCCTCCCTCCCCCAAACCCAGTCCCTGGCAACCACCGTTCTACTGTTTCTCTGACTTTAATGTTTTTGGTTGTTTTTCGGATTCCACATATAAGTGACACCATACGGTGTTTGTCTTCCTCAGTCTGGCCTATTTTGCTTAGCATAATGCCCTCCACATTCATCCATGTTGTCACAAATAGCAGGATTTCCCCTCGCTTTTAAAGGCTGAATAATATTCCATTGTGTGTGTGTGTGTGTGTGTGTGTGTGTAGATACTGTACGTTGTATTTATCCATTCATCCATTGGTGGATGCAGGTTCTTTCCACATCCTGGCCATCATGAATAATACTGCAGTGAACGTACCTCTTCAAGACAGTGGTTTCCTTTTCTTTGGATGGATACCCTACTGTTAATTTCTTGAGGAACCTTCATACTGTTTTCCATAATGGTTGAAATTTACATTTTACATTTCCAGTTTACATTTCCACTAGCAGTATTCAAAGGCTCCCCTTTTTCTGAATTCTCACCAGCATTCATTATCTCTCATCTTCTTGAAAACAGACATCCCAGCAGGTGCCTTTTCCTGATGACTAGTGATATCCAGCATCTTTTCACCCATGGGCCACTTAAATGTCTTCTTTGCAAAACTGTCCTTTGCCCATTTTTAAATCGGCTTATTTGGGGTTTTGCTATTGAGTTGTATAAGTTCCTTATATGTTTCAGATATTAACTCCTTATTGGATATGTCGTTTGCACATATTTTCTCTAATTTCACAGGTTGCCTTTTCATTTTGTTGATGGTTTCCTTTCCTGTGCAAGAACTTTTAAAATTAGGTTGTCTTCTTCCTGTTGAATTTTTAAGAGTTCTTTGTATTTTTTGGATATACAAAGATATACCTTTATACACCTTTATCAGGTATGCCTGTGTGTTCAGTCGCTTCAGTTGTGTCCAACTCTTGGCAACCCCGTGGACTGTAGCACACCAGGCTCCTCTGTCCTTGGGGATTCTCCAGTTAAGAGTACTGGAGTGGGTTGCCGTGCCCTCTTCCAGGGGATCTTCCCTACCCAGGAATCAAACCAGCATCTCTTTTGTCTCCTGCATTGGCAGGCGGGTTCTTTACCACTAGCGACGCCTGGGAAGCCCTTATCAGGTATATCTTTTGCAAGTATTCGCTCCGAGTCTGTAACTTGTCTTCTAATTACCTTGACACTCGCTTTTGCAGAATAGAAGTTTGTAGTTTTAATGAAGTCCAGCTTATCAATGATTCCTTTCATGGATTGTGCTTCTGGAATTGTATTTAAAAAGCCATCATCAAACTCAGGGTCATCTAGGTTTTCTTCTATGTTATCTTCTAGGAATTTTATAATTTTGCACTTTACATTTAGGTCTGTGATACATTTTGAGTTGATTTTTGTTGAGAATATGAGATCTGTGTCTAGATTCATGTTTTTGCATTTTTTAACCAGTTTTTTAAAATTAATTAATTAGACTGATCTTAATTGCGGTCCATGGGCTCTTCCATCTTTGTTGCAGCATGCAGGATCTTTAGTTGCAGCATGCAAACTCTGAGTCACTGCATGTGAGATCTGGCTCCCTGACCAGGGATTGAACCTGGCCCCCTGCATTGGGAGTATGGAATCTTAGCCACTGGACCACCAGGGAAGCTCCTATCTTTGTTCCATTGTGTTGCCTTTGCTCCTTTGTCAAAGCTCAGTCGACAGTATTTATGTGATTCCGTTTCTGGGCTATCTATTCTGTTCCATTGACCTATTTAACTGTTAGCCAATACCACATTGTCTTGACTACTGTACCTTTATAGTTAAGTTTTCTTTTGACACTGTTTTCAGTCTCTCATAAATTTTGCTAAGTAGGAGTTTTATTCTCATGTAGTTCAGAGTATGTTAAAATTTCTCTTGAGATTTATTCTTTGGCCCGTGTGTTATTTAGAAATCTGTTTAATCTCCAAGTATTGGGGAGTTTCTAATTATTTTTTTCTTTTCTTTTTGGCTGTGCCATGTGGCACACGGGATCTTAGTTCCCCAACCAGGGATGGAACGCACGCCTCCTGTAGTGCAAGTGTGGAGTCCTAACCACTGGACTGTCAGGGAAATCCCTCCAGTTATCTTTTGTTAGGGATTTACAGTTTAATTCCACTATGGTCTAAGAGCATATATTGTATGATGCTGGAAAGTGAAAGTGAAAGTCGTTCACTTGTGCCTGACTCTTTGCAACCCCATGGACTATATGGCCCATGGAATTCTCCAGACCAGAACACTGGAGTGAGTAGCCTTTCCCTTCTCCAGGGGATCTTCCCAAACCAGGGATCGAACCAGGGTCCCCTGCACTGCAGGCAGATTCTTTACCAACTATCAGGGAAGCCCAATGTATGATGTTTATTCTTTTTAATTTGTTGAGATATATTTTATGGGCCAGAATGTGGTTTGCCTTGGTGAATGTTCCATGTGAGCTTGAGAAGAATGAAAAATATTTTAATTAATTGATTGATTTTTTTTTTTGGTTGTGCTGGGTCTCTGTGGTTGTGCGAGCTTTTCTCTAGTTGCGGCGAGCGGGGCTGCTCTTCACTGCAGTGCACAGGCCTCTCGCTGCAGTGGCCTCTCTCATGGGGCACAGGCTCTGGCCGCACGGGCTTCAGTAGCTGTGACTGTTGGTCTCTAGAACACGCTGGTTTCAGCGGTTGTGCTGCATGGACTTAGTTGCTCCACGGTACGTGGGGTCTTCCCGGACTAGGGATTGAACCTGTGTCCCCTGCACTGGCAGGCGGATTCTCATCTACTGTACCAAAATACTTTTAACAGGAAAAATCTAAATAATATTAGATCTTAGGCCCATGTGTCCAAAACAAAAAGCTTAAGAAACAGAACTGGTCAGCACCTTTGATTCTCCCCCGTGCTCCTCCCCTGTCACGCTGTCCTTCCCTTAAAGATGCTTTAAGGGAGCATGAAATCCTGGCCAGCAGACTGAGGAGCCTATGACTGGAGGTAGCGTTCTCGTGATTTTTTTCCTGTTCTAGGTAGAACTTCAGGGAAGGTGTGATCTGGGGGACTAAAGGCTGAAATTCTGTTGGATTTGTGTTTCTGGATCATGGTCTCTGATACCAGCAAGAAGGGCCTTTGCTGGGGTAGGAGTATTTATTAAGAGGCCTGGGAAGAATGTGGTTGTCCCCAGCTAACTGACCTTATAAAGAGGGCCTTCAGCTGAATTCTAGTGTTTCTCTTTGGCTTTTAGAATTTCCATTTCTCTGCTTATATTAGCCATCTGTTCTTAAATGTTGTCTATTTTTCCCATGAAAGCCCTTGGTATTAATCATAGCAGTTTTCCTTCTGTGTATTTGCACTTTTTTAAAGCCTATCTGATAATTCCAACATACATAGCCTATCTGACTCCAGTTATGATATTTATTCAGCCTCTTAAAACTGTGTTTTTTGCCTTGTAGTACGTCTTGTAATTTTTTTGGTTGAAAGGTAGATATGATCTGGGCTTCCCAGGTGGCTCAGTGGTAAAGAATCCACCTGCAATGCAGGAGACATGGTTTGATCCCTGGGTCGGGTGGATCTCCTGGAGGAGGGAAATGGCTACCCACTCCAGTACTCTTGCTTGTGAAACCCCAGGACAGAGGATCCTGGCGGGTTATAGTCCACGGGGTCGCAGAAGAGTCAGATACAACTTAGTGACTAAACAGCAACAGGAACAAGCCTCTGCAGCAAGCAGGCCTTTAGTAAGGCCGTGGTGAGGGGTTGGGAGGAAGTGCTCTGTGGTTGTATTGTTAGGTCTCAGGGTTTCGTTGAGCCTGTGCCCCTGGGCGGTGAACCTCACAAGTGCTTCTCAATTTTATTTTGGTTTCTCCCCTTTACGTGGAACAAGATGGCCAGAGTGGGCTGGAATTGGGGTATTTCCCTTCTCCCATGTCAAAGGCTAAAATTGGCTAAAGATGGGTATTTCCCTACTCCCATGTTAATCAGGGAGAGATAAGACCAGCCAGTTAGGCTCTGGAAAAGTAGTTTCTCCTTTGGGCAGGTCTTGTTAAGAAGAACTGAATGCTCTGGGGTGTTTCAAGATGGTTCCTCTCCCCTTTCCCCGAAAAAAAAAAAAAAAAAGCAGGAGGAGATTTTTCTCCAGGGTTCACTGTGAGGACCAGCTAGAGCTCCTGGAGGTAAAACTCATGAAAGTGTCTGCCACCCCACCAACTCCACTATCAGCCCCACCCAGAGACTGGGTCCCCTGGAATTTTCAGCTCTGGGACTTTTCCACACGGAGCCTCCAGCATTTTGGCAATTACTTTTAGGTTTCACCAGCCTGGCACTGAGTTCCCAGGAAGGCTCTTGCTCCACTCAGCTGTGGCCCACCTGTCTGTCTGTCTCTGCAGCTTGGGATGGGGGTGGGGAGGTGTAGGCAGCAGCTTGCCCGGTGACCTTACATCTTTGATGACTCAAAGAAGAACTGTTGATTTTTCAGTTTGTTCAGCTTCTTACTTATTGTGAGGACAGAATGGCGACTTCTAAGCTCTTTATATGCTGGACCAGAAACCAGAAATCTGTTTTGTTTTGATTTTCAATCACACTTAGAAAAAAAATAACTGGTTGGTGTGTCTTCAAATGTTTTTCCTGTTTCTGCCCTTGCTTCTTTCCTCTGGGACTCAAGTTATGCTTAAGAGAGGCTCCCGTGAGTCACTGAGGCTCTGTCAATTTTTTAAAACAATCTTTCCTCTCTTTGTGCTTCAGTTAGAATTGTTGCATTGACCCGTTGTCAAGTTAATTGATTCTCTCTTCTGTTATGGCCCATCTTCAGTTAATCCCAGCTAGTGAATTTTTTATTTCAAATATTATTTTCATTTCTAGGATTTCCATTTGATTCTTCTTTATAATTTTCACATCCCTTCTGAAATTTGCTATCTTATCACCCATTATATCAGTTCCACTAGATTCTTTGACATATTTGTCACGGATTTTTTTAAATTTAAAAATGATTTTATTCTATTTTATCAAAAAATTTTAAACTTAATACAATTTTTAAAGGTTACTTTCCATTTATAGTTATTATAAAATATTGGCTATATTCGCTGTGTTTTACAATACATTCTTAAGCCTATTTTACACCCAATAGTTTGTGTCACAGATATTTTCAACTCCATGTCTATTAATTCAAATATCTGGGTTGCCTATGGATCTGTTTCTACAGACTGATTTTTCTGTTGAGGATGGGTCACATTTTTCGGTTTCTTCACGTCTAATAATTTTGTATTGCATATTGGACAATATAGATGTCATAGTGAAGAGAATCATCCTCTGATGAGTGTTGACTTTTGCTCTAGTGAGGGCAAGCCCTCAGCTCCGTGACTTTAGGACGGGCAGTTCGCGGACCATCCAAGGATCAGAGGAGAGAGTCTCTACTCTTTGCTTCACTGCTGTGGCTCTCTGCTTTCCAGTATCTTCCCCTCAATTTCCTCCTCCTTTGGCGGTCTCAACCCCAGCCTCTGACTCCTCAGGCCAGGAAGACCAAAGCTTCCCGCTTGAGCCATTTGCCAGGCAGAGGGGCCTGGGATGAGCCCTCAGAGGAAAAACCATAAAAGTGTGGATGTTATCCAGTGTGGTTCCATTCTTTCTAAGGTCAGATATCCTTCAGTTACTGGCTATTCTTTATCACTTTCCATTGCCTTCAAACAGTTGGGTTTTTTTGCATTTTTATCTTGCGTTAGTCCAAACAAGCTACTCCCTATCTCTCTCCGTCTCAGCCTAGCTCAGCCTCTCTCTCTCTCGCCCCACAACCTCCAAGCCCTCTTTCCTTCCCTCTCTCACTGCTCCTACCTCTCTCTCTCCTCGCAGGGAGAACCTGGCCCCAAAGGAGACCCTGGTGAGAAGAGCCACTGGGTAAGCCCTAGCCCAGCGCTGCCGTCCCGCTGCCCCCTGCCCTGGACACCAGGAGATTATACGGGGGTGGGGGCAGCCCACCCAAATCCCCTTTGTAACCTGGTCTCCCGGGCAGAGCCTTGCCAGTTCTCAGCCCCTGCCCCCTCCCCGCAGCCTGCCCCTCCCCAGTGGGCAGGGCCGGCCTTACCAGCAGACCTACACTTTCTGTCTTCGCCCTGTTTCTGTCTTCTCTCTGCGGCCTTTGCAGGCCGGGGTGACCCTGCTGCTTCCTCCTGGGCAGTTTGGGCTGACCCAGTCAAGACTGCATGCCCTGCCCTCATAGCCCTTCCCAGCAAGGGCTTTGGCTTCTGCTCCCCTGTCTGCAAAAGAAAGGGAAGCAGGAAAACAACATCCACACAGAAGAGGGGGCCAGAAGGCCTTAGGAAAGCCGTGGAGCACAGGAAGGGAGGTGCAGAAACGCTGAGGTACACAGGAGCCCTTTGGGAAAAGGGATGGGGCACTGGACACCACCGAACACATTGGAAATGGTGAATCATAGGAAGGGAGGCCTGGAAACCATCATGGACCCAGTGTACATGGTGAAGGAAGTCAAGGGACCTAGATCCATTGTACCCAGAAGACGTACAATTAACATGAGGTCCTCAACACCATCACATCCACAGGAAACCCATGAGGAGGGGAAGGAGAGGCCTAGAAACTGTCATACGCACCAGAGAACCATGGAAAGTGAAATAAGGAAATCTAGAAACCACTGTACACAAAGGAAGCCGTCACATGCACAGAAGACATAGAATAAATGGGAAAGGGGACCTAGAAGCCTTCACCGTCACGAGAGGGAGTTGCAGTGAATGAATTTCAGGGCCTAGAAATCACCGCCCCCCACCAGGAAACATGGAGGAAGCACCAGAAGCCCCACAATGCAGGGACCTGGAAACCACCACTGCCATAGGAGGCATTTGGAAAATGGACATTTGGGATGGGGGCAGACAGGAGAGGCCATTGGGGCATTCTTCTGGAGGCTGGCATTGTGCCCCCTCCCTCCCCCGCCCCCCTCCTGGTGCAGTCTGGCTGGGACGCCCTACTTCCTGGCAGGCCCTAGTTAATGAAGACAGGGGAGCACCCAGCACCTGCCCCGCCCTCTCTGCTCCTGACTGTGGGTCAGTGATGGATACAGCCGTGGGAGCCGCCCCCCCATGCACGAGCCCTCCCCTGTGTCTTCCCATGACGCGTGGGGTCCTGCTACCTCTCTATCAAGCCTCTCCCAGCCCCTCACTGCCACCCTACTCGCTTCCCCACCTTCCACCCCCTAGTGGCTCCAGAGTCTCTTAAGCATACTGTCAGCATCGGCATGAGCTGGGCTGGGGGTCAGCTAGACCCAGGAGATCCCAGCCTTCCGGCCCCCTTCACTGGCTTCTTCAGAGGCCTGGGGGAGGTGGGAGAGGTGGGATGAAGGCTGAATTAGGCTGGGCAGCCCCATCCCTTTATGGGGGGCCCAACAGGAAAACAGATGCCTGAGATCTCTCAGAACAGACCTCAAACTCAGAACCACCTTTGGGAGGGACTCCCATCGCCATGAGGTAGCAGGGTCCCTGCCCATCCACCTGCCTTCCCCTCACCCACCTACCTGCTTTTCTGTCCCTGCTTGCTGCCTGCCTGGGAGGGGACCTGCTGGGCTGGGGGCTGCATGAGGCTCTGGGGGCTGGGGGGCCAGCTCTGTTGGGGGCAGGTGGGGATGAGGTCTGCGTGGGGAAGGGCTCCTGTTCCCACACTCACCTGCTAGTCCCCACTTGGTGAAGCGCTTGCAGACATTGACCTGGCTGTGGCTCAGCAGTGACACCCAGTGGTCATGCACTGCAGGCACTGGCCCATCCAGACCAAAGCCCATACCCCTCATTCAGATAGGAAAAGCTGAGGTCCAACTCCACAGAGTGAATTGGTGGCAGAGCTGGAACTGAAGCCCAGGCTTTTCAGCTCCTAGGGCTGGGGGAGCCAGCTAACTGTCCCAAAGCACCTCCTTGGTGGTGCCAGGCCCCAGACTGGGCACTGTGGACACAGATGTGAGCTGGACACAGTCCCTACCTTCAGAGTGGTCACAGTAGGGGTGGGAGGGAACAGACCAGTAGCCAGAAGTGACAGGACAGGGGGGAGCTCAGCTGTGACGGCAGGGGGCAATTCAGCATCTTTTTGGATGAGGAGACTCAGGCTGAGGCCTGGCAAAGGGCGTTCTGGCAGAGGAGAGGAAACATCATGTGTAAAGGCCCTGGGGCAAGGGCAAGCCTCGGGTGTCTGAGCAGCTGCAAATACTTGGAGCGACAGAGGGTGACAGGCAAGGAGTGAGACACAAGCCAAAGAGGCTTTTGGGACTTAAGAGGCCATATTGAGAAATGTGAAGTTTGTGCTGTAGGTGGTGGGGAGCAACTCATTGATATGTTAAGCAGGGGAGTGATGTGGTCAGATTTTTATTAGCAAAAGATCCCTCTGATTGCCACGTGGAGAATGGATGGGAAAAGGGAGCAACGTGGGAGCAGAAAGACTAGACAGGAGGCTGTCCTCGTCATCCTGGCAAGAGGCTGTGGGGGCCGGAACTGGGAGGCGGACAGTGAAGATGGACAGATGTCAGTGGAGCTGAGAGACACGTGGGTGCTAGTCTGGCTGTGGGATGAGGGGGCGAGAAGTTAAGGGAGATGTTTACAATAGAGAAAGGCAGAAGACAGCCAGGAGAAGCTGGCCCTCTGAGCTTTCCCTGTGGGAACCGGGAATGTCTGTGTGACAGCTAAGGGTCTGTCCAGCAGGCCCTGGACACTCAGGCCAGGCTTGGGGGCCCTGGGGCATCATCAGTGCAAATAACAGGCCACTTACCCAGAATATTTATTTTTGCATTTTTCCCCCAGATTTTTACTTTGAAAATTTTCAAATATATAGAAAAGTTAGTTCAATGACTATCCTTATACCCTTCTTCTAGCCTGACCAGTTATTACTATTTTGCCACATTTGTTCTTTCACTCTTTATATATTTACATATCTCTTTTCCTAATCCATTGGAAAGTAAGTTGCAGACCTCATCTGCATCTCCCCCAACACATCAATGTGTGTCTTGAAAGAGTATGGACGTTCTCCCAAAGAGCCACAGTACCACAGTCACCCCTAAAAAAATTGACATTAATTCAGCCACTTAATATACAGCTTATCTATAAAGCAGATGGCAACCCACTCCAGTACCCTTGCCTGGAGAATCGCATGGACAGAGGAGCCTGTAGGCTACAGTCCATGGGGTCGCAAAGAGTTGGACATGACTGAGCAACTTCACTTCACTACCTATAAATTTTACCAGTCACCTCCAAAATGCATTTTGTAGCTGGTTTAAAACAAACAAACAAACAAAAAAATGAATCCAAGATCAAATCAAGATTCGTGTATTGCATTTGGTTGTCATGTCACTAGGTTCTTCTAATCCAGAACAGGCCCCCTGCCCTTTTCTTCTTTCTCTCGAGGTTTCTTTGTGAGACTGTCCCTCCGTCTAGACCAGCCTGACAGTTCCCTGTGATGAGATGCAGGTGAACTGCCCTCCACAGGTGCACCAGCTGGGGAGGTGGTGCCCTCTGACTGAATCTCATCAGGAGACGTGTGACGGCAGCTTGTCCCACTGTCCATGCTCCAGCGGCTTACTGTGGTTTCTGAAGGTCATCTACGTTTAGATGGGTGTTAATACTCGAAGTGGGGTCACTTCACTGTGACCTGGTGACCCCCAGGCTCCACGGCCAGTCAGTGGAGAACAGTCCCATCTTGTGATGTGGACAGGCCAGCCACATCACCAGGTCATAAGGGCTGGTCCTAGCATGGCCATGGGCTCGCTCAGAGCGGCCACGTTTCGAGGACTCGTTAGACGTTTTTTGTGGGAAGAGCTACCTTGAAGGTAGCAATTGTCCCAAGATGCATATTATACCCCATCCCTTCATTTAATCTGCAGTAAGTAAAGGACTCGGGAGAGACTCCCAGATGTGTCAGGGCTGGAATAGTTCTTGCTGCCCTGGTGCTCGGTCAGAATTAAGATCTCTACATCCCGGAAGTACCTTTAGTCTGGTCTAGGAAAGAGCAAGGAAGGAGTAAGGGAGTGTGGGGTTTTGGCAAGACCATGGGCCTTATGCTAGGGGGAGGAAAGGACAGACGGACAGACCCTGGGAAGAAGGGAAGGCGAAGGCCAGCTGGCGGTCCCTGACCAGAGCCCTGGGCAGTGTCAGCACCACTTGAGACAGGAGACCCCAGAGCAGGGAGGTCGGGGGGAGGGGTTGGAGGGGTGCCGGAGACTCAGCTGAGACGAGAGGGCGGGGCTGAGGGCTGGGCTCCCTCGTGTGCAGCATGTGGACCTGCAGCCGTCAGAGCCCTGGGGAGGAAGGGGCCCAAAAGGACTGCGGAGGGGGCACCTGGGCCTGGACTTCAGCCTTGCCAGCATTTTAAGCCTAGCTACCCAACAGTGATGCCACTCAGACATCTCCTGATTTTACTCTGATATGTTCATTTGGACATGAGTGGGAAGACGGATTGGAAAGTAGCCTGATCCCAGTGGTGGAGTTAATTAGATGAGACAAACACAGTATTGAAGGCAAAACTGAGTCAGTTCAAAGACTGCTAAGTAAACAACAGTGCAAGTGGCCCAGGGATGTGGCAGGAATCCTGCGGATGTTGTGAGACAGCTGGTTTCAGGCAGCAGAGATGGAAGAGCGGCTGGGGCTCTGGGGCAGCCTCATGGCAAGCCCCAGGACAGCAGGGCTGCCCCTGCAGACTGGCCTCCCCCTGCCCCCAGTGCAGCGAAGATGTGCAGGGCTGTGGGCAGAGAGCAGACAGCTGGGTGGGATCCTACCAAGGGAGTTGCTTCTGCCTGCCTTGTCCCCCTCCTGTCTTCTCCGAGTCTTGTTCTGGCTGTCCATGGGCCCTGGGCTGTGGCAGGTGGTGAGGGGCTGCGAGTGCATGTCCAGGGTGGGGCATGGGCCTCCAACAAGCTTTGCAGGGCCCCCCTCCCCTGCCCCCTTCACGGCTGCATCTGTCTCTTTCCTCCACAGGGGGAGGGGTTGCACCAACTACGCGAGGCTTTGAAGATTTTAGCTGAGAGGGTTTTAATCTTGGAAACAATGATTGGGCTCTATGGTGAGTAGAGACAGATGGACAGACAGCCCAGCCCCCGCCCGCCAGCCTTCCCCAGGCCCCCCAGGGTGGAGCTGCCTGGGCCCAGTCAAGAGGCTGGAGAAGGTACCTGACCTTCTCCAGGTGGGGATGTGAAAGGTCAAGACCACTCATCCCTTGATGACTGGTCCCACGAGTCCACAGGGGAAGTGGGGAGCCCCAGAAACCCAGGCCCCCACCCCTGTGGTCAGACCTGGGGCTCCAGAAACTGGGTAATGTGGTTTCCAGGCCTGCAGAGGTGCCAGGGCTGACAGATTTTGGGTCTGAAGGGAATGATGGGCAATGGAGCCAAGCTCCAGGGCAGCAGAGGATTGTGGGTAACAGAGCCAGACTGCAACAGTACAGAGGATCATGGGTAATAACGTCAGAACCTGGGCCACCGGGAGGATTATGGGCAATGGATCCAGACTCCAGGCAGAGCCAGTGTGCACGTCCACGGGCCAGCAGGTCACAGGGCTAGACTCCAGCAGGGCAGGGGACTGTGGGTGACACAGCCAGGCTCGGGTCCCAGGGGATTCTGGGTGATGTACCACCCTCCAGCTCTGACCCCAGAGGCACCCACTCAGCAGGCCCTCCTGGTCCCAGGATGACCTGGGAGTGGGCTGGGAGACCCTCCCCCAGGCATTCATCCACCAGTTCTCCATCCATCTGGTCACTTAAGGAGCCAAGTGAGCCCCGTCCCCACTTAGGAGAGACCAAGATCCTGACAGAGACTCGAGCCCAGGTTCCTGCCCCTCCCCTCAACTCCCCGGCCCAGCCCGCCCCCGGAGGCCAGACTCGCACCGTCTGCTCTTCTCGATCTCCCATCAGGCTCCTAGCTTACAGAGCTTCCTGCAGCAGCAGGCTCAGCTGGAGCTCCTGGCCAGACGGGTCACCCTGCTGGAAGCCATCATCTGGCCAGGTAACGGCAGGGCGGGCAGGCAGGGGCAGCCCCTGCCAGGAAGGGCCTGGGAAGGGCCTGGGAACCCAGACGGCACCTCCCAACACTGGATCCAGACTAGCAGCCACCACCCCCTCTTCAGCCCTTCCATCCGGCCAGCAGACGGTGTCTGGCACAGAGAAGGTCCTGGTAACTAGATCCTGAGTGATTGAGCACCTGCTCTGTGCCAGGTACCTCGCCGGACAGGTTCCAACAGATAAGACAGACACAGTCCTGCTCTCGTGGAGTTTAGGGTGCTGCTGCGGGGGGGTGGGGAGGGAAGCCCTGGAACTGCGTGTTAAATCCAGGGTGAGGAATACCACAGTGGAGTGAGTACTGGCAACCAGGAAAGCACAGAAGTGCTCCTGATGCAGGCTGGGGCATGGCAGAGGGCATCTTGGGAGGGCTTCCTGGAGGAGGCATCTAAGTGGAGACTTGAATGGCAAGGATCGGGGGCAAGTAAACAGGCAAGAGGAGTAGCATGGCCAAAAGCCAAGAGACCAGGGAGAACCCAGAGGGACTGTTTTGTGAGTTTGCTGAGGGGCGAGAGCTGAGGCTAGAAGATCTGGCAGGGGCCCGTTTGAGAAGGTCCTTGAATGCAGGCTTGAAAAGAGGTTAGCCCCACCTGTGGGGCTGAGGAGTTCTCCCCAAGTTAACCTGGAGTTTGTGGCAGCCCTGGAGAGAGGCAGGGATTGACTGCCCTTGGGGCTAATCCTCCCCTACCTGCGAAGAGGCCCCAACAGCCACTCTTCTCCCAGACGCCCCATCTCTCAATGCTTCAGTACACACAGCCTCAGACATCACATGTAACCTCGTGTCTGTTCTACAGATGGGGAAACTGAGGCCCCCAGCAGGAAGGAAAGCTGAGGTCAGAGCCATCTCCTTCATTTGGCAAAAATGTAGGGCACATGTGCTGCGTGCTTGGTCTGGGAGGGTGCAGAGGCCGGTCTCAGGGTACCTGCCTTGGAGGCGGGGGGTCTTCAGCATCTGTAGAGGTGAGGGCCACAGGGAACAGGCGCACCAAAGGATGAGTGTGAAGGGAAGCCTTCCTGCAAGATGGGGCCCTTGCATTAGTCATGGAAGGTTCTGAGTGTGCTGGAAGGAGGGAGGAAGGCAGCCCCCACAGAGCCCCGCCCACCAGGGGTGGGAAGGTGTTCGGGGTCTGCTTACAGAGCTGCTCCCGCCGCGCCACATGGCTTCCCCAACTTCTAGAAACTTCTCCAACCATCTCCCAGACCTTCTCCTATCCCAGGACCAAGGACCAAATCCCAGGCTCTCAGCTCTGTCAGGTGACCCCCCACGCCCCCTCTCAGGAGGACTGGGACAGGAGCCAGAAGGGCCACACTGTGGCCTTGCCTCTGTGCCCCACCTCTCCTTCAGCAGCCCCGGAAGTGCGTGCCAGGCCCCTGGCAGGGCCCGTGTCCACTCAGTGTGGCCTGGAAGGGGGTGCAGGAGGAGGGGAGCAGAGGAGATGGAACCCTCCCTGCTGTTGCATCATGCACAGCAGGTGCTGACAGAAGACCCAGATGGGCTCGTGTTTAGACTGTGACTGATAACGATAGTAGTGACAGCTGTCACACACCCGGGTCACCTGGGCCGGGGAACTTATATCCATCATCTCCAGCCCTTGTAACATGCGTTCTAGGTGGGCAGTACCATGCCCACCTCACAGAGGGAGAAACATGGGTTCAGAAGACTCGTGTGACTCCCACAGTGACACAGGGAGAGCTGTGAGCCCCTGGGGCCCCCTAGGTCTGGCCTAAAGCTCCAGCTCTTTGGGCTCCATCAGCAGAGGTTCTCCAACCCTTCTGCTCTTCTAGGCACTGAGGGGGGCCCAGGGGAAACCAAGGCCCTGAATTTGATCATGTCAGAAACAGCATCTCATGACCGACTCACAGTGACCAGACCTGCAGGGGTTGAAGACACACCAACCTTGTGACTATTATAATCCAATATTTACTGTGAAAACCACTTTCCACTCCTGGTCACCTTAAACACTTTACAGGAGTGTCACCCCAAAATTCCAGAAGGGGCTTAGAGGTTCTTGGACTTGCTCAAGGCCACATGACTGGAATATGGTGGGGCCAGGACTTGGCCCGAGCTGATGTTGGGACCTGAGCGCTGGGCTACCCTACTCCTGTGCCTCCTGGTTTGGGGGCATGAAATGTCCCTTGACTGTGACTGCAGATACCTGTCTGCCCCAAATCTCAGTCCAGAGGTTCATGGGCCACAGGGTCAGGACACTAGACACTTATGATTATGAGGCTCTAGCCGCTTTCCCTTCAGTGGGAAGCTGATGCTCAACCAGAGTCCAAGTGTTGGTCCTATGAACAGGATTTTGGAGGCTCAGCCAAGCCCTCCATCCTGGGGCTCTCCCTCTGGAAAAACAGCCCATCCTTCCAACCTGCCTAACCCATTTGAGAAGGACTGAGGTGATAGTGACAGAAGGCTTCCTGGAGGAGGTAGGTCCTGATCTGTGTTCTGAAGGATGAGTAGGAGTTTTCCAGGCGGGAAGAACGCCAATTATTCAGTTTTACTCTTGGGGGCCAGCTAATTTGCAGGTTGGGGCATATGTCACCATAGCCAAATCGGAACTGACTTCAATAACCACTGGAGTTGCCCAGGGCCTCTGTATCTGGACCATCCCCCGAGTCTTAAGAGATGAGACAACTGAGACCCTGACCGAGGTCCAAAGCTACACAGTAGATCAGTGGCAGATCCTGGCCTTCCTAAACCCTTCCCCACTACAGGTGGTGTAACCCAAGGAGAGAGAGTGATGCCTGGCCTTAGTTTACCCAGATATGAAATGGGAATGACTCAGGGCACACCTACACATCCAAAATATGTTAATGAAAAAGTACTTTTTCATGGCGCATCCACTACGTACGAAGCATTTAAGAAACATGGTGGGTTTATCCCCACCTGTCACAGAAAAACAAGTAGAGGCCCTGAGTGCTTTAGTTGGGTTTGGGGCTAGTAACTCCCAGGGGGACGGGCACTAACCAGCTTTGCAGACCCCCTTCTTTTCCACAGCTCTGCTTCCAGATGACAGAGCCCCACCCCCAGAGGGGCCAAGGGGAGGTGGGTGCCTCACATAGACCTCACTAACCTGGCCTCTCTCCGTCCCTCCCTCTCTTCTTCCCTCCGGCAGAACCAGAGGGGTCAGGGGCAAGCCTCGCCGGCACAGGCACCCCCAGCCTCCTGCGGGGCAAGAGGGGAGGACACGCGGCCAGCTACCGGATCGTGGCCCCCAGGAGCCGAGACGAGAGAGACTGAGGGTGGTGGTGGCCCCTTGGGGAGGGCCAGCCAGGCTTCCCTCCCCAGCCTGGCCTGGGCCGGCTGCCTCTGGGGTCTGCCCGCCTGTATTTATTGACATCCTCAGGGTTCCTTCCGCCACCCAGGCCTTTGGGTGGGGGTCTTGGTTCTGGCCCCCCATGTGCCTCTGCCTCCCATGAGGCTGAGCAGGGACCGGGGCCTGAGAGGGAGGCATGGCCCAGGTGAGAGGTGAGGCCTTGCTCAGGGCCCTGGGCCTCAGTTTCCCTCTGTGAAATGGGGTTATGGAGGTCTGCGGGTTTGGAGCTTCTGTCGCCTCATCAACTGCCCAGCCCTCCACACGCCCAGGGATGATGAGGGCGGGCAGTCTCGCCTCCCGGCTCCCCAGCCAAACCTGGGGGGCCCATCTGTACCCCTCCTCATTTTCTGGTGCTGGCTTCCTGACCCTGAGGTCAAGCTACCTGATCTGACTGGACGTCCAGGGCTCCTTGTGTCAGTTCTGACCCCTGAACCCTCGGGCCCTTCCATTGTGACAGCCCCAGAAGTAGATGTGTATCAGCCAATAAAGGCCCCCGCCTGACTGCCCACCGGGCTGGCCTGTGTGCGCTTAGATGGGGCGGCCAGGCAGGCCAGCAGCTCTCCTCTGTGGCCACTGCTGTCCCCCTGAGGGCTGTGGAGCTGGGCTCCCTGGCCATCACCTGGCAGCTGGGGGACAGGGTCGGGGGGCAGAGCAGAGGCTCAGGTCATCCCCAGCCCCGGCCAGGCATCCAGCAAGCACTGCCCTCCTGCAGTCAGCCGTTTGTCCACTGCTCGCTCATTCACTCAGCCCCCTGATGCCAGCATAAGAGTCAGACAAACACTGCCCCGCAAGATCCAGGCTGAAAAGTGAACTGGGTTTTATTCTGAACAGTACCAGGGCAGGGTGCTGGGGGGCCACCCCAGACCCCCTCCTGACTCTCAGCAGACAGGGCTAGGGCTCTTCTCACCCGAGGGCCTGCCTGTGCTACGGGGGCCCAGGACCCTCAGGGTGGGCGGGCCCTCCCCTCCCCTGAGTCACCAGCGCCTCGGTGCCCACCTCCCCGCCGACCAGCAGTGCAACAGCCCCCTCCACTCGGCCCGTGGCCGCCAGGGCCACCACCGCCTGTTCCGTGGGGAAGCCCATGCGCTCCAGCTGCTGCAGCCTGTGGCAGGGAAGGGGCAAGGAGGGAGGGTCAGGGCCACCTCCAGCCCCCAACAGGGCAACCCCCACCCACCCACCCCACCTTACCGCAGAGAGGAGACGGAGGACTTAGGCAGCCAGAGTGGGCTGTCAGGGCCCTGGGCTGGGCCCTCAAGCAGCGAGGCCTCGATTCCCTCCTGTAGCATCTGCTGGTCCAGGGCTGCCCACAGTGGGGTCCCTGGGGGGAAGCCGGGCCCAGACCAGGCCAGTCCAGCCTCTGAGGAGCCCTCCCAGAGCGGCTGTACAGGCCTCAGGCCCGGCGGGATCGGGGCTGAGCCTTCACTGAGGGGCCAGAGGCTAGGGGAGGCCATGTGGGGAGGTCCAGGGGTGGGGGGCCTGGAGGGGCAGAAGTAGAAGAAGGCTGACTGCCAGCCACTGGCACGGCTGCCACCACCGGGGCCAGTGTCCTTGGCATCACCCTCACCTCTCTCTGGCGGGATGGGCGACCGGCAGCTCAGCTGGGCCACCTGGGGCGGGGAGGAGCCGGAGCGGCCAGCACCCCGCCAGGGCCCTGCATAGGACACCCTCCTGCAGCGCCTGCAGCCGCCACTCCGAGAGCTCCAGCCACCGGAAGGCCCCGGCCGCGTCTGTCTGCCCGGGGCAGGGCGGCCGGTCAAGGAAAACCACATACAGCTGGGGGGAGCCCATGCCACATGCCAGGTACCGTGCCAAGTGTGTGACGGGCATTCCCTCCTGTCTCCTCACCGTGGCCCTGTCAGAGCGGTGTCATCACCCTCATCAGCATGGAGGCTCAGAGAGGAAAAGGGGCCCGCCCGTAGCTACCCAGCCAGCAAGAGGCAGTGGTGTGCCTCATCCCTAAACCCGTCTCACCCCGATTCAGCCGCCCCCCCCCACCGCCATCCCCCAAGCCCTGTGGGCTCGCTCAGGCCTGTGACACCAGGCCCACCCCTGGGCACTGTAACAGCGAGGGCAACATGCTCCCCTCTCCAGGATCCAGCCGGGCGTCCCCAGTCCTAAGCAACCCCCGGGGCCAGCCTGCGCCCACTGTTTCCCCTGACTGCAGTGTCACCCCGCAAGGCATTAAGCCTGTGTTCAACACACCCGCAGCAGGCTGTCCCCCTTCTGGGGCCAGGAGAGCCCCAGGCTCACTTTCACCCTGGTCCTTCGCCCTCTGCGCTGACTGTGGGCCCATGCTCTCCTCTTCCACCTCTCCTCATCAGGACCCCTCATCCTGCACAGGCTTGGTGTAGCTGCCATCTTCACTGGGACGTCCAGACTAGGCGCCTCCCAGGGCCGCTTGGCGCCCAGGCTCTCCTTTAAACTGTAATTGGCACCTCTACATGGCCATGAGCCCCCAGTCCCCAGCCCAGAGCCGGAGAGAGGAGACTCGGAGATGCCCCTGGGATGCGTGTGAATGATGGGGGCCTGACTCCTCGTGCCACTTCCTCCCCGGCACCCTGGGGGCCCAGCCACGGAACCCGCATGTCCACAGCAGCCCTGAGCCCTGGCAAAGGATACAGGCCAGGCCGGCGAGGAGGCCGCAGAAGAGCTGCAGGAAGGGTGGCTCGGAGCTGAGCAGTGGTGTCAGGGCGAGCAGCAGCCACGGCAGGAGCCACGGTGGCAGGGCCCCCCGGGGCCGTCGAGGGCGAGAACCCTGTCCTGCTAGCATGGCCAGGTGGACAGGCATGTACCCGCAGCCCCCGGCTGCACCGGACAGCCCAAGGCCTGCCAGCAGCACAGCCAGCAGCCCGGTGGCCAGCGCGAGCAGGCTGGAGGCATGCAGGAACCGCAGTGTGCCCAGGTGGCGCTCCTGCTGCCAGCCCAGCGTGGGCAGGAGCAGCAGGCTGAGCAGCAGGCCGGGGAGGGCCGTGTGGCCCAGGGCATGTGTGAGCAGCCGGTGTGCTGGGGGAAGAGAAGTGACTTATGTGCCAGGTTAGGGGCTGTGGCCCCTGAGTCTGGCCCAGGTGTGCCGGGGCCGTCCACCAAGCCAGCCTCCCCCGCAAGGGAGTGAGAGCCTGCTCACGGCCAGCACTTTCACCCCTGGTGGAGGGGACCAAGGGCTTCCAAACACTATGGCTACCCGCCCCCCTGATGCTTTAAGTAGAACAAGCCAGACCCGACAATAAGTCTTCTTAAGAGCAACCAACCATAGGTAAGTCACTTCACTTCTGTGAGCATCATTTGAGTTCCTCAAATTCTTGGGAAACAGGTGCTCAGCTCCTGCCAGTCCTCAAACCCCTAGCTCCTCTTTTGCATTTTCGGGCTTAGCTGAAAGCCTTAGTTTAAGGGAAAGCCACCAGACAGGGGAGCCATCTGAAAAGAATTCCTACTCACAGGCTCCCAATCCTGTGCTGGCCCCTCTGCCCTCCCTCCTCGGCTGTGGTTGAGCTGGGCATTCTCCTGGCCGAGGCGGACCTTCCCTGGATCACTGGGCCCAGCCCCTGCCTGACGCTGCAGGATGCACTTGCTCCTGCCAACTGGTCACAGGCCCTACAGCAAACCCCTGCCTCCAAGGGCCATGTGGCCGGCCCTCACCCTGCCTAGGGTCCAGCAGCAGCTCTGGGGCCAGGACGAGGCTGGGGCCGGCCCCCAAAAGCCACAGCGTGCTCATTAGCAGCATCAGGACAGAGGAAGCGAGAGGCAGCGCTGCGGTCGGGAGGCCAGGGGGACCTCTGGCATGCATAACTTGGCTGAAGGTGCTCAAAGGTGGCCGTGGGACTGTGTGCTGGGGGAAAGGAAGACAATAACAATAGTTATTATTGCAGCTTTTATCTGACCTCCTTTCAGCTACCATAGCAACAGCACCATTTTACAGAAGTAGAAACTGAGGCTGGAGAGGTCAGTGCAGCAACTTGGCCGCACAAGAGTTCAGAGCCTAGCCATGTGGTTAGCCATTTCGCTGTCCTACCTGCCTATGTGTGAGAATGTGAAGAGGTCAGGCCCTGATGGGCCCTGAAAAGGAGCCTGGAGTGGGAAGCTCGGGGAATGGGAAGTTGAACTGGGACACTGGACTCCCCAATTTTGGGAGGATTTGTACAGCCCCAACGGGGCAAATTGAAGGCCATCTTCTGCCTCCCTGTTTCCTCTGGCTACAGACTAGCCACCTTCCTCCCGCTCCCCTCCACTGACTTAAGAGCTCCAGGTTACCTCAGCTGCCCTTGACCGAGGGGGCAAGGCCAGCCAAAGGGCAGGCAGATTAGGGAGCTGGTGGAGCCGCAGGGCTGGAGGAGGGGCAGCTGGAGTCCACACAGTGACACCAGACAGAGACACCCCTCCTCCAGCCCTGATCACAGCCCCTCTGGCCCAACCCTCACTTTCACAGGAAGCTTCCAGGATCCACTTCACTTTTTCCTGTTGTCTACTCCTCCCTCAGCAAGTCTAGAGCCTCTCCTTCCTCATCTGTAAACTGGGGATTAAGAAAATTCATTCCTTGTAGGATATGAAAAAGGAACGGACTAGGCAGGCCCACAACTCCTGCTGGATAAATGGTAGCCACCTGGGCAGTCCCCACCAAGGGGGAGGCCTCAACACGGAAGCAGCCGCTCCAGCCCAGCTGCCCTCAATTGTGTCAATCCCCTGCCCACGAGGCAAGGCTTTCTCTCCTGTGTTCTCCCTCCTCACACCCGGCCTGTCTTCTAAGCCCTGCTGGAATCCCCTCACTCTGGTACCCTAGCATGTCACAGGAGAGGAAGGGAAATGCCAGAGATAAGAGGGCAGCCTCATCTGCTCCCTTTTCAGGGGTATCCTTGGCATCAAAACCCACCTGCCACTCTCTTGCAGAAAAAATATAGAAAACTCCTCTGCCTGCAATGTCTTTCGCTCCATCTCGCCAACAGCAAACTCCTACTTATCCTTTGAAGCCCAGCTCAAAGCGCCCCTTGCCCCCACCATCATGGAGCCTACCCTATCTAATGAGTACCGCTTGGGCAGTTTTCTAGGCAGGTGATCTGAACTGGGGGAGGAGGGATGCTCCTCTCACTCACGGCCAAGTTTCCCAGGGTGCTCCTAGCACAGAGCTCCTGCTTTGGATGTGTTCGCTGAAAAGAAAGACAGTAGCTTTGTTCCAGGTCCCTCTCAAGGATTTGAATGAGCCCTGCCCTTTGCAGGACCTGGGCATCCACTTAGGGAGATCGGGTTGATTCCAAGAAGTCAGGCTGGTGTCAGCCTTGCGGCACTGCTATCCTCCTGCACCCTCCCCCGCCTCCCCCCAGGGTACTTTAACAAGAGTAAGAGACTTGCCCTTGGACAGACTGAACTGGGATCTGAACGCTGCAGATCTCAGTCTCTTTATCTATAAAATGGAGCTGTGTACCCTCGGACCCCGCCTACCTCTCCGGGAAACCGGAAGGACAGAATGGAAAGATAGGGACGGGGATGATTCTTCCGGGTCATGGACAGTTGGGGGTGGGGGGAGTCCCGGGTGTGGGTGAGACTCAGCTTTGTGACTTTAAGAGATGTAACCAAATTCCTTGGGCCTCAGTTTCCCCTTCTGTAAAAACAAAGAGTGTTGGATGAGGGGTGATTAAGAGTCTTCGCAATCTCGATCGTTACTTGGGGGTGGGGGGGGGTCTCGGGCCGGGCGCTACGTTCAGGGCCTCCCATCCAGCCCACCGGTTTCGGCTCCCTCCCCCGCGGGCCGGGCCACGTGTCCGGGGTACTCACTGCGGAGCGCGCCCCCCGCCCCCCGAAGGCCGAGTGGGGCCCTCGGCTGGCAGGCGGTACTCTAGCTTCCCGCCGAGGCCCGAGCCCATTCTGCTCGCCCTCTGGCGCGTGACCCCGGCCGACCGGTCGGCACGCCACCCCCTCCTCTGCCGCCCGCCGATTAGTCAGCAGTTGGTCAAGGCCCTGGTCCCTTCCCCCTAGTGTTCCCGCCGGCCTCCGTTTCCCTCCAATGTAGTCTCTTCAGAGACGGTCCCTAGAACCTGCGGGCGTAACCATTCCCCGAACGACCCGGCGTCGACCAAAGAATCGCTCCGACTCGTCACCGAGATCCGCTCACCCACCGCGCCCGCCACTGCGGTGTTACTTTGGTCCGCTCATCACATCCGGGGCTCTTTAGAGAGCATTAGGACTAGAGAGGCGGGCGCGAAGGACGAGAAGCGGTGGGTCATTCCGCCTTTCCCCACCCCCGTGGCGGGGGCCCGATGGTAGCGCCCGAGGTTGCGGGTCTCGCGCCTGCGCAGTGCGGCGTCTAGAGGAACAGCGAGAGGGAGACGGACGTTGAGAGAACGAGAAGGAAGGAGAGAAAATGGCGTCCACGGGTGAGTGTGGTGGGACTGTGGTCGCGCCGGCGACGGCAGGGACGCCCAGATTGGGGGTCGCTCGTCTTTGAGGATGGCAGGGACGACTGAGTGGGCTTTCCCGGGAAGGGTGTGAGGTACCCGCCGCGGTCTGAGAAGCTCGATGGCCGGCGTCCCCCTCCGCTCTTTCCCCTCCCCCCACCGGGCAGGCCGGCTCTGGAACCTTCCGGCGCCCCCGGCACGCGGGGGGCTGGAGGCGGCGGGGGCGCGCGGGGGCCTGCCTTGGCCTCCATTGTGTGGCGGCGGTCGGGCCCCGAGATCCAGGCCGCTCGCCACGTGGGCGGGGCCTGAGGCCTCGGGGCCCCGCGTGCAGTGGGGGGGAGGGTTCGGCCAGGCCTCGGGCCCGGCACCCCGAAACTGGAGGCGGGGGCGGGCGGCGGCTCGAGAAGCGGCAGGCCCGCTGTCTCTTTGGCTCTCCCCACCACAACTCAATTTCCAGGGCGGCAGCCTAGGCCCGAGGCCGACTCTGCCTCATCGAGAAGCCCGGGGGGGGGGGGGGAAGCAAACAAAAAAAGGCTTCGCGGACTTGTGAGCCGAGGGGCGCCGACCTGTGAGCCGGAGCCCCGTCATCCTTAAAGCCGGGTCGGCTTGCAAGTCCAGGGCCGCCGAATTGCCCCCTTCCGCGGGTTCCAGCCCCCAAACCGAACTTCTACCCAACTGGGCTTTAAACGGAGCGCCCCCGCCCCACGCGCCGCTTTGCAACTACCCAGTCGCTGCTGCTTAAAGTTTTGTTTTTTTTTTAAACCATTATTAGTCCTTCTTTCGCCACAAAAAGCAATTAAGCGGCTTCCCAGGGCCATTTTTCATCAAACGCGGAGGGAGGCCTGTTGTATAATGAGGCCAACCCGGTTCGCGAGGCCAGGAATCCCCCACCGAAAGACATTTCTTGGCCTTTTTGATTTAGGAGAAACAAAAGGCCACGGTCGGCGTTTGAATTATGCTTAAGTAATCGTCTCGCACGTTTATTCGCTTAGGTTAAGCCGAGAGAGGCTTGTTTATTTCGTGGTCTGACAGGAGAGAGCGGAAGGAGGCGCGGACTGGACTTTGAAAGAAAGCCCGGGGTGGGATCCGGAACATGGTGTGTGGGGTGGTCCTTTACTGCCCCGGGGTGTGTAAGAGAGTAGCCTAAACGAGACCTGCAGTTTGCATCCGTGCACTAACTGCGGTTGTGGGTCGGGTGGGGCGATTTTTGCCTCTGGGGCAAAATCTTAGGCAGCCTGACTCCAGGCCTTGGAGGCAGTTAGAGTAGAGGGAAGATGGAAAAAGCTTTGAGTCCTTCCGAGTTTTAATTCGAAAAGGGTCCAGAATCCAGCAAAGGCAGGGCAGTCTTAAGAACTCTCCCCAGCTTTGTGGTCTGTAAACAAGGAGGTAGTGGATGCTGGCTGTTAGTGCCAGGGTACAGAGTGCCCCTGGAAGAAAGGACTCTGAAACAAGCACAGTCCCAGACACCTCCTGGTGGGGAATGGTTTCCTTGGAGCCCTGTCCTCCTCCCTCTTCCCTGCAGTGTTAGGATTCTGTAAGGGGGAGTGCTGCTCTCCCTTCCCCGTGAAAGTTCGGGGAGTACATATGTGTGTGTATTTAAGTGTGTGTGTGTGGACATGCCAATTTTTCATTCTCCTTTGCTCAAGCTCTGTTTACTGGTAACCACCGAATACTGTATTAGAATTACAATTGTTTTTTATGTAGACACGGCAGTAGGTCTGACCGGGGGACCTTTGAGAAAATCCTTAACTTACCTGGACTTCAGTGTCCTGTCCTTCAAGATGACGGGGTTAGGCTAGACCTTTGAAGAGCTTTTTGAGCCCTTAGTTTCTGATGTTACAGCAAAGCATTTTTGCTTTCACGGAGTTGTCCCAAAGTGACTTTAACTTATGATGTAGTCTGAAGCTCTAACTCTCCACAGTTTGAATCGTGACTGCCTGAAGTATCTAAAAGCCACCACATTGGGCAATAGTCTCAGTTTTTCTTCCTCCTTATTTGGTGTATTTAGAAAAGTACCTAAAGTATATGTCCACTTCAGCAAAGAAACTTCCAAGTAACCACCATTCAGACCAAGAAATAGAATATTGCTAGCACTCTGGGTTGGGAATATCCCCAGGAGGAGGACGTGGCAACCCGCTGCAGTAATCTTGCCTGGAGAATCCCATGGACAGAGGAGCCTGGTGGGCTGCAGTGCAAAGGGGTGCAAAGAGTCTGACACGACTGAAGCGACCTGACATAGCACTCTGGAGCCCCCCCCCCCCCATAGCCCCCGTTCTCCTCAGCTTGTCCTCTGTTTTAGTGTAGTCTTCAGCTACATGTTTGGGAGTTATTAAAAAAAAAGACAACTGCTAAATAATCTGACCAGTGTGTAACTGTAGATTTTTGAGGCCATATAAATGTT